AAGGCGGTTCTGCCGTCCTCTTTCCCGGCCTAGCACACAACTTGGCAGCTCACAACTACTACGAGTGATCCCCAGATTCGCAAGCGAACCGCTGCCTTCGGCTGGAAGACTTCTCTGGCTCGGCATCTGATGTCTTCTGTCCCCGCTGACTGGCCTGACAGGACAAACACAGTCTCGCACAAGCCTTCACTCAAAAGCCTGTCAAGCACTGACTGCAGTGCCAGCAAATTTGGCAATGGTGACGATTCCACCAACGCCAACCGAGCAAGTCATGCAGGTGAAGCCGGTGATGTAGGCAATGCCAAAGGTGCCAATTAGGGTTGGGCAACATTTGCCTAAACAGCCAAACTTTGAGAATCTCTGACACCATTTACAATCAATGGAGGTTGCTTGAACAATAGTGGATTAACAGCAACGAATTGGCTGCCTTTGAAGCCTTTGCAGTCTCCTTGGGTCTTCTCGGTGTGCTGACCTGTGGACACAAATGGCTTATTGATTGTATGTTTGTCGGACTAAAAGGGTCCAAAGCAGGGCGATCCTGGCAAAGCCATCTTTGAGCACCCGGCATCTGATGCTGCCGCTTCTTCTTCCGAAGGCGGTTCTGCCGTCCTCTTTCCCGGCCTAGCACACAACTTGGCAGCTCACAACTACCACGAGTGATCCCCAGATTCGCAAGCGAACCGCTGCCTTCGGCTGGAAGACTTCTCTGGCTCGGCATCTGATGTCTTCTGTCCCCGCTGACTGGCCTGACAGGACAAACACAGTCTCGCGCCAGCCTTCACTCAAAAGCCTGTCAAGCACAGACTGCAGTGCCAGCAAATTTGGCAATGGTGACGATTCCACCAACGCCAACCGAGCAAGTCATGCAGGTGAAGCCGGTGATGTAGGCAATGCCAAAGGTGCCAATTAGGGTTGGGCAACATTTGCCTAAACAGCCAAACCCTGAGAATCTCTGACACCATTTACACCCAATGGAGGTTGCTTGAACAATAGTGGATTAACAGCAACGAATTGGCTGCCTTTGAAGCCTTTGCAGTCTCCTTGGCTCTTCTCGGTGTGCTGACCTGTGGACACAAATGGCTGGTCCAAAGCAGGGCGATCCTGGCAAAGCCATCTTTGAGCACCCGGCATCTGATGCTGCCGCTTCCTCTTCCGAAGGCGGTTCTGCCGTCCTCTTTCCCGGCCTAGCACACAACTTGGCAGCTCACAACTACTACGAGTGATCCCCAGATTCGCAAGCGAACCGCTGCCTTCGGCTGGAAGACTTCTCTGGCTCGGCATCTGATGTCTTCTGTCCCCGCTGACTGGCCTGACAGGACAAACACAGTCTCGCGCAAGCCTTCACTCAAAAGCCTGCCAAGCACTGACTGCAGTGCCAGCAATTGTGGCAATGGTGACGATTCCACCAATGCCCAACCGAGCAAGTCATGCAGGTGAAGCCGGTGATGCAGGCAATGCCAAAGGTGCTGATTAGGATTGGGCAACATTTGTCTAAACAACCAGACCCTGAGAATCTCTGACACCATTTACACCCAAAGGAGGTTGCTTGAACAATAGCGGGTTAAAAGCAACGAATTGGCTGCCTTCGAAGCCTTTGCAGTCTCCTTGGCTCTTCTCGGTGTGCTGACCTGTGGACACAAATGGGGGTTGTTCAAAATAAAAGTTCCTGGAAACGGCCCTTTCGCCGGCCTTTCGCGGTCCTTTCGCGGCCCCATGTTTTCCTTTCGCGGTGACAAACCAGTCCTGAAAACCTTGTTTCCGGGCCCAAACGAGGGTTCTACCATGTATTCGTTATGTTTCAAGTCCTTTCGCGTTCCTTTCGCCGGCCTTTCGCGATGCAGTGTTTTCCTTTCGCGCTAGACCTTCAGAACCTCCTTTTACTTAATTTTAAGACTGGCATTTAGAACGACTCCCAAATGGCTTATTGATTGTATGTTTGTCGGACTAAAAGGGTCCAGAGCAGGGCGATCCTGGCAAAGCCATCTTTGAGCACCCGGCATCTGATGCTGCCACTTCTTCTTCTGAAGGCGGTTCTGACGTCCTCTTTCCCGGCCTAGCACACAACTTGGCAGCTCACAACTACTACGAGTGATCCCCAGATTCGCAAGCGAACCGCTGCCTTCGGCTGGAAGGTTTCTCTGGCTCAGCATCTGATGTCTTCTGTGCCCGCTGACTGGCCTGACACGGCAAACGTCTCACGCAAGTCCACAAAGGCTGCATGAGGCCTGGAAAGCCTAGAATCTCGCATACGTGCCGACCACTAGTTGAGATAGAAAAGTTATCTTTCAGTGTGGGGATCCTTCTGTCTTTCTTCTGGGAGTCGTGTCAAAGAATGGCTTTGTGTTTCGTGAAGTTCCCGGATTATTGTGGTGTATGGATGTTGTCGGTTGCTTCTGGTTGGAGCCTTTGGGCCCGGGGAGTGCCCAATCAATCTGGTACACACTAGTACCCAAGAGTGGTGGGTAAAGAAGACCTGATTTTAAAATATGTGTGCGTCATGTTGTTTTGTCATTTTGACTAGCTCAGTGCTGGCTTCTTGGTCTTGTTTGTGACGAACCTCCCACGCATATGCAGGATTGGTATGTACAACTGTACAACCTCAAGCTAGCCCATACAAGCAGCATGATGTCTTGAAGCAACTCATTAGCCGCCTTCGAAGCCTTTGCAGTCTCCTTGGGTCTTCTCGGTGCGCTGACCTCTGGACCACAATGCAACCAACCAAATGAAACCTACTGCTCCTCCCGCTTCAAAAAGATCAAAGGCTCATCCTCCATACATCTTTCCCGTGACATGCCCCCGACACCTCCTTGATCTTGAAGCTCTAAGAACAACGAAACCAGATGACCAGGACGATCCGGCGAAGGCGTCTTTGAGCACCCGGCATCTGATGCCGCCGCTTCTTCTTCTGAAGGCAGTTCCGACGTCTGCCTCTTTCCCGGCCTAGCACCACACAACTTGGCAGCTCACAACTCCATGTGAACCGCTGCCTTCGGCTGGAAGGTTTCTCTGGCTCAGCATCTGATGTCTTCTGTGCCCGCTGACCTGCCTGACACGGCAAACATCTCACGCAAGTCCACAAAAGCTGCATTGGGCCTAGTGCGCAAATTCGTGCTGCACAAACTAACACTCATGCCAAGGAATGGGATCTAGAACACCACAATGGTGTCTTGAAGCAACTCATTCGCCTTCGAAGCCTTGGCCGTCTCCTTGGGTCTTCTCGGTGCGCTGACCTCTGGACCACAATGCCACCAACCAAATAAAACCTACTGCTCCTCCCGCTTCAAAAAGATCAAAGGCTCATCCTCCGTGCATCTTTCCCGTGACATTCCCCTGACACCTGTTTGATCTTGAAGCAAAAAAAGAAGAAGACAAAAAACAAAGACCAGGAGGATCCGGCTTCATCTTTGAGCACCCGGCATCTGATGCCGCTTCTTCTTCTGAAGGCAGTTCTGACGTCTGCCTCTTTCCCGGCCTAGCACCACACAACTTGGCAGCTCACAACTCCATGTGAACCGCTGCCTTCGGCTGGAAGGCTTCTCTGGCTCAGCATCTGGTGTCTTCTGTCCCCGCTGACCAGCCTGACATTGCAGACGCAATCTCACGCAAGCCTTCAAAAGCTGCATGGGGCCTGGAAAGCCTAGAATTTGTACATATCCGCCGATGCTAGTAGAGCATGGACAGCAATCTTTCAGTGTGGGGATCTCTGTCTGTCTTCTTTTGGAAGTCTTGTCAAAGCGTGGTTGCGGCGACTCCCTCAAATCTACAAGCACGGCATTGTGTTCGGTGAAATTGCCCGGATTCTTGTGGTGCATGGAGGTTGTCGTTGCTTCCGTTTGAGTGGAATACTTAAATAGGACCCAAAGGTAGTGGGCAATGAAGCCCAGATTTTGCAGTGCTTTTGCCCGCCAGCGTTATGTTCTTATTTTCATGTTTGTGACGAACCTCACACTTATGGCAAAAAAAAAGCTTTAGAACCTCAAGCTCAGCTCATACAGACACAATGACGTCTTGAAGCAACTCATTGGCCGCCTTCGAAGCCTTTGCGGCCTCCTTGGGTCTTCTCGGTGTGCTGACCTCTACACCACACTGCAACCCACAAATGACCTCCCCCGTCAAAAAGACCAAAGGCTCATCCTCCATGCATCCTGAGACCTCCCAGATCTTGAAGCTCTAAGCAAAGCGAAACCAGATGACCAGGACGATCCGGCGAAGGATTCTTTGAGCACCCGGCATCTGATGCCGCCGCTTCGTCTTCTGAAGGCAGTTCTGACGTCTGCCTCTTTCCCGGCCTAGCACCCCACCACTTGGCAGCTCACAACTCGCCATGTAAACCGCTGCCTTCGGCTGGAAGGTTTCTCTGGCTCAGCATCGGATGTCTTCTGTCCCCGCTGACCAGCCTGACATTGCCGACGCAATCTCACGCAAGCCTTCAAAAGCTGCATGGGGCCTGGAAAGCCCAGAATCTTCGCCGACACTAGTAGAGCATGGAAAGTGCTTTTCAGTGTGGGGATCTGTCTGTGTTTCTTCTGGAAGCCTTGTCAAAGCGTGGTGGCGGCGGCTCGCCCAAATCTACAAGCATGCCAATTGATTCGCGAATTTCCCGATTTTTGTGGTGCATGGTTGTCGGTTGCTTGTGTGAGTCTGGTACAAAATAGTACGCAAAGGTAGTGGGTAAGGAAGCCCAGATTTTGCAGTGCTTTTGCACGCCAGCATTCTGTTGCTTTGTCATTTTGAACCATTTTGACTAGCTGAGTGCTGGCTTCTTGGTCTTGTTTGTGACGAACCTCCCACTCATGTGCAGGATTGGCATCTACAACCTCAAGCTAGCCCATACAAGCAGCATGCTGTATTGAAGCAACTCATTAGCCGCCTTCGAAGCCTTTGCAGTTTCCTTGGGTCTTCTCGGTGCGCTGACCTCTGGACCACAATGCAATCAACCAAATGAAACCTACTGCTCCTCCCGCTTCAAAAAGACCAAAGGCTCATCCTCCATGCATCTTTCCCGTGACATACCCCTGAGACCTCCCAGATCTTGAAGCTCTAAGAAAAACGAAACCAAATGACCAGGACGATCCGGCGAAGGCGTCTTTGAGCACCCGGCATCTGATGCCGCCGCTTCGTCTTCTGAAGGCAGTTCTGACGTCTGCTTCTTTCCCGGCCTAGCACGCAACTTGGCAGCTCTGAACTCGCCATGTTTCCCGCTGCCTTCGGCTGGAAGGTTTCTCTGGCTCAGCATCTGATGTCTTCTGTGCCCGCTGACTTGCCTGACACGGCAAACGTCTCACGCAAGTCCACAAAAGCTGCATTGGGCCTAGTGCGCAAATTGGTGCTGCACAAACTAACACTCATGCCAAGGAATGGGATCTAGAACACCACAATGGTGTCTTGAAGCAACTCATTCGCCTTCGAAGCCTTTGCAGTCTCCTTGGGTCTTCTCGGTGCGCTGACCTCTGGACCACAATGCCACCAACCAAATAAAACCTACTGCTCCTCCCGCTTCAAAAAGATCAAAGGCTCATCCTCCATGCATCTTTCCCGTGACATTCCCCTGACACCTGTTTGATCTTGAAGCAAAAAAAAAAAGAAGACAACAAACAAAGACCAGGAGGATCCGGCTTCATCTTTGAGCACCCGGCATCTGATGCCGCTTCTTCTTCTGAAGGCAGTTCTGACGTCTGCCTCTTTCCCGGCCTAGCACCACACAACTTGGCAGCTCACAACTCCATGTGAACCGCTGCCTTCGGCTGGAAGGCTTCTCTGGCTCAGCATCTGGTGTCTTCTGTCCACGCTGACCAGCCTGACAGTGCAGACGCAATCTCACGCAAGCCTTCAAAAGCTGCATGGGGCCTGGAAAGCCTAGAATTTGTACATATCCGCCGATGCTAGTAGAGCATGGACAGCAATCTTTCAGTGTGGGGATCTCTGTCTGTCTTCTTTTGGAAGTCTTGTCAAAGCGTGGTTGCGGCGACTCCCTCAAATCTACAAGCACGGCATTGTGTTCGGTGAAATTGCCCGGATTCTTGTGGTGCATGGAGGTTGTCGTTGCTTCCGTTTGAGTGGAATACTTAAATAGGACCCAAAGGTAGTGGGCAATGAAGCCCAGATTTTGCAGTGCTTTTGCCCGCCAGCGTTATGTTCTTATTTTCATGTTTGTGACGAACCTCACACTTATGGCAAAAAAAAACTTTAGAACCTCAAGCTCAGCTCATACAGACACAATGACGTCTTGAAGCAACTCATTGGCCGCCTTCGAAGCCTTTGCGGCCTCCTTGGGTCTTCTCGGTGTGCTGACCTCTACACCACACTGCAACCCACAAATGACCTCCCCCGTCAAAAAGACCAAAGGCTCATCCTCCATGCATCCTGAGACCTCCCAGATCTTGAAGCTCTAAGCAAAGCGAAACCAGATGACCAGGACGATCCGGCGAAGGATTCTTTGAGCACCCGGCATCTGATGCCGCCGCTTCGTCTTCTGAAGGCAGTTCTGACGTCTGCCTCTTTCCCGGCCTAGCACCCCACCACTTGGCAGCTCACAACTCGCCATGTAAACCGCTGCCTTCGGCTGGAAGGTTTCTCTGGCTCAGCATCGGATGTCTTCTGTCCCCGCTGACCAGCCTGACATTGCCGACGCAATCTCACGCAAGCCTTCAAAAGCTGCATGGGGCCTGGAAAGCCTAGAATTTGTACATATCCGCCGATGCTAGTAGAGCATGGACAGCAATCTTTCAGTGTGGGGATCTCTGTCTGTCTTTCTTTTGGAAGTCTTGTCAAAGCGTGGTTGCGGCGGCTCCCTCAAATCTACAAGCACGGCATTGTGTTCGGTGAAATTGCCCGGATTCTTGTGGTGCATGGAGGCTTGTCGTTTGCTTCGGTTTGAGTCGAATACTTAAATAGTACCCAAAGCTAGTGGGCAATGAAGCCCTGATTTTGCAGTGCCTTTGCGTCATGCTGTTTTGTCATTTTGACTATCTGAGTGCTGGCTTGTTGGTCTTGTTTGTGACGAACCTCCCCCTCAAGTGCAGGATGGGCATCTACAACATCAAGCTAGCCCATACAAGCAGCATGCTGTCTTGAAGCAACTCATTAGCCGCCCTCGAAGCCTTTGCAGTCTCCGTGGGTCTTCTCGGTGCGCTGACCTCTGGACCACAATGCAACCAACCAAATGAAACCTACTGTTCCTCCCGCTTCAAAAAAAAAAGAGACCAAAGGCTCATCCTCCATGCATCTTTCCCGTGACATACCCCTGAGACCTCCCAGATCTTGAAGCTCTAAGAAAAACGAAACCAGATGACAAGGACGATCCGGCGAAGGCGTCTTTGAGCACCCGGCATCTGATGCAGCCGCTTCGTCTTCTGAAGGCAGTTCTGACGTCTGCCTCTTTCCCGGCCTAGCACCCCACCACTTGGCAGCTCACAACTCGCCATGTAAACCGCTGCCTTCGGCTGGAAGGTTTCTCTGGCTCAGCATCGGATGTCTTCTGTCCCCGCTGACCAGCCTGACATTGCCGACGCAATCTCACGCAAGCCTTCAAAAGCTGCATGGGGCCTGGAAAGCCTAGAATTTGTACATATCCGCCGATGCTAGGAGAGCATGGACAGCAATCTTTCAGTGTGGGGATCTCTGTCTGTCTTTCTTTTGGAAGTCTTGTCAAAGCGTGGTTGCGGCGGCTCGCTCAAATCTACAAGCACGGCATTGTGTTCGGTGAAATTGCCCGGATTCTTGTGGTGCATGGAGGCTTGTCGTTTGCTTCGGTTTGAGTCGAACACTTAAATAGTACCCAAAGCTAGTGGGCAATGAAGCCCTGATTTTGCAGTGCCTTTGCGTCATGCTGTTTTGTCATTTTGACTATCTGAGTGCTGGCTTGTTGGTCTTGTTTGTGACGAACCTCCCCCTCAAGTGCAGGATGGGCATCTACAACATCAAGCTAGCCCATACAAGCAGCATGCTGTCTTGAAGCAACTCATTAGCCGCCTTCGAAGCCTTTGCAGTCTCCGTGGGTCTTCTCGGTGCGCTGACCTCTGGACCACAATGCAACCAACCAAATACAACCTACTGCTCCTCCCGCTTCAAAAAAAAAAGATCAAAGGCTCATCCTCCATGCATCTTTCCCGTGACATTCCCCTGACACCTGTTTGATCTTGAAGCAACAAAAGAATAAGAAAAAAAAACAAAGACCAGGACGATCCGGCGAAGGCGTCTTTGAGCACCCGGCATCTGATGCCGCTTCTTCTTCTGAAGGCAGTTCTGACGTCTGCCTCTTTCCCGGCCTAGCACCACACAAGTTGGCAGCTCACAACTCGCCATGTAAACCGCTGCCTTCGGCTGGAAGGTTTCTCTGGCTCAGCATCGGATGTCTTCTGTCCCCGCTGACCAGCCTGACATTGCCGACGCAATCTCACGCAAGCCTTCAAAAGCTGCATGGGGCCTGGAAAGCCTAGAATTTGTACATATCCGCCGATGCTAGGAGAGCATGGACAGCAATCTTTCAGTGTGGGGATCTCTGTCTGTCTTTCTTTTGGAAGTCTTGTCAAAGCGTGGTTGCGGCGGCTCGCTCAAATCTACAAGCACGGCATTGTGTTCGGTGAAATTGCCCGGATTCTTGTGGTGCATGGAGGCTTGTCGTTTGCTTCGGTTTGAGTCGAACACTTAAATAGTACCCAAAGCTAGTGGGCAATGAAGCCCTGATTTTGCAGTGCCTTTGCGTCATGCTGTTTTGTCATTTTGACTATCTGAGTGCTGGCTTGTTGGTCTTGTTTGTGACGAACCTCCCCCTCAAGTGCAGGATGGGCATCTACAACATCAAGCTAGCCCATACAAGCAGCATGCTGTCTTGAAGCAACTCATTAGCCGCCTTCGAAGCCTTTGCAGTCTCCGTGGGTCTTCTCGGTGCGCTGACCTCTGGACCACAATGCAACCAACCAAATACAACCTACTGCTCCTCCCGCTTCAAAAAGATCAAAGGCTCATCCTCCATGCATCTTTCCCGTGACATTCCCCTGACACCTGTTTGATCTTGAAGCAAAAAAAGAATAAGACAAAAAACAAAGACCAGGACGATCCGGCGAAGGCGTCTTTGAGCACCCGGCATCTGATGCCGCCGCTTCGTCTTCTGAAGGCAGTTCTGACGTCTGCCTCTTTCCGGGCCTAGCACCCCACCACTTGGCAGCTCACACCTCGCCATGTAAACCGCTGCCTTCGGCTGGAAGGTTTCTCTGGCTCAGCATCGGATGTCTTCTGTCCCCGCTGACCAGCCTGACATTGCAGACGCAATCTCACGCAAGCCTTCAAAAGCTGCATGGGGCCTGGAAAGCCTAGAATTTGTAAATATCCGCCGATGCTAGTAGAGCATGGACAGCAATCTTTCAGTGTGGGGATCTCTGTCTGTCTTTCTTTTGGAAGTCTTGTCAAAGCGTGGTTGCGGCGGCTCGCTCAAATCTACAAGCACGGCATTGTGTTCGGTGAAATTGCCCGGATTCTTGTGGTGCATGGAGGCTTGTCGTTTGCTTCGGTTTGAGTCGAATACTTAAATAGTACCCAAAGCTAGTGGGCAATGAAGCCCTGATTTTGCAGTGCCTTTGCGTCATGCTGTTTTGCCATTTTGACTAGCTCAGTGCTGGCTTCTTGGTCTTGTTTGTGACGAACCTCCCCCTCAAGTGCAGGATGGGCATCTACAACATCAAGCTAGCCCATACAAGCAGCATGCTGTCTTGAAGCAACTCATTAGCCGCCTTCGAAGCCTTTGCAGTCTCCTTGGGTCTTCTCGGTGCGCTGACCTCTGGACCACAATGCAACCAACCAAATGAAACCTACTGCTCCTCCCGCTTCAAAAAAAAGACCAAAGGCTCATCCTCCATGCATCTTTCCCGTGACATACCCCTGAGACCTCCCAGATCTTGAAGCTCTAAGAAAAACGAAACCAGATGACCAGGACGATCCGGCGAAGGCGTCTTTGAGCACCCGGCATCTGATGCCGCCGCTTCGTCTTCTGAAGGCAGTTCTGACGTCTGCCTCTTTCCCGGCCTAGCACCCCACCACTTGGCAGCTCACAACTCGCCATGTAAACCGCTGCCTTCGGCTGGAAGGTTTCTCTGGCTCAGCATCTGATGTCTTCTGTGCCCGCTGACCTGCCTGACATTGCAGACGCAATCTCACGCAAGCCTTCAAAAACCGCTCGGGGCCTGGAAAGTCTTTTGCTGTGCACCACACTGTTGTGTACCGTAGTAAGTACTCAAATGGGTGCTTGCACAGACTAACACGAAAGCCAAGGACCTAGAACCTCAAGCTCAGCTCATACAAGCACAATGATGTCTTGAAGTAACTCATCGGTTGCGACAGGAGCCTTTGAAGTCTGCTTGGGTCTTCTTGGTGTGCTGACCTCTGGCCAAACATGTGACTGATTTCAACTGTAACAAATGAGCAGGCCAACCCTGTCAAAGATTGTGTTGCCGGGAGAATGGCTCCGATTTCGTTTCTTCTTAGAGCTTGAGGATGCCAGGGAAAAGATGCTTGGAGTCGATGAGCCTGTCTTCTTGACGGCGGAAACAATGCTCAAGCGTGCTGCTTGAGCCCTTGACCCGCAACTGGGAATGGACCACTGTTGTGGGAAACGTTTAAACGTGTCTGAACAACCTGGTTTGAAGGAGCCCCCCGTCAAACACGCCCAAACACCAGCAAACCGGCCCTGCTCGCTTCCGGCGCCGTTCAAACAGGATTAAACTTGGCCGTTTAGACGTAGTTTGAACAAAGCCCGCATCAAGAAAATCGCAAACTGGTCACGGTGGCTCTCCATTGCCAGCCCTCTGTGGCACTAGCCACAAAAAGCTGCGATTTTGCGAACCAATGCCAAGGTCTTCAATCCCTGGCCCAACTGCACATATGTTTAAACATAAGCTAGCATCAGGGCACCTGTTCAAACATGCGTTAAATGTTTCAACGTGTTTGCGATGAACTTGATCTTTGAGCACCCAGCGTCTGATGCTGCCGAAAAGAGAAACTTGGAAGAAGGTAACTGATACAAGAAGAAGACAGAGCAAAGAAGGATAAAAGAAACGTCGAAAGAGAACCTAATTGTTGAAGTACAAGCAAAATACGCAAACCCTAATCAAGCAAACACTAATCAAGCAAACCCTAATCAATAGTATTGGTCTGTACTCGTTGAGGCGATCAGCTCCGCAATCTAGATGCTAAAATGCAGAACCCCCACCCAGGAACTAACGCAATCATATAGCTCGCTTGATCAAGTTCAAGATCTGGATGCCAAAAATGCAGAGCCAACCCCACCCATCATATTGGATTCAATATGATACCATGCATATTCGCCTGAGGGGGTCAGCACAAAGCAGCAGAAGGTTGCCTTAGCCCCGAACCTTTTTCAGACGCCGTGTGTTGGATCACGACATGCAACCCACCCTGTCGGAATACTCGGAACGACTCGCGTGAAGATCATGACAGCTGACAGAACCTGCAAATGTAGATTTCGAAAAACAAACAAGAAAAGGCATGCATCTCAAAGAATCAGCTAAAGTGATCATGACAGATAGAACCTGTTTTCCATGAAGCCAATTGTGCTTCCTTGCCCGTCATCCCTTTTGACCGTTTATCAAAATTCAAGAGCCATGCTGAAAAAGTGATGTCCGGCTATTTTGAGTGAATTTTCAGGGGTCGACCTCTGCATTGTCGACATTCAGTACAACCCGGTACGAGTACATCAAGCAAACTATTGAAGTCCAAGTGGCATTTGTCTCTTCATCCTCTGAAGCCATTTCCGAACCCTGCTTCTGAGCTGGCCTGAACACACACACGCAAAGACCGACAAATCCAGAAACAAATGCAAAGTTCTCTCATCACCGCTCATTGTCCCTCCATCCCTCTCTCCCTCTCTCCCTCTCTCTTTCTCTCTTTCTCTCTTTCTCTCTTTCTCTCTTTCTCTCTTTCTCTCTTTCTCTCTTTCTCTCTTTCTCTCTTTCTCTCTTTCTCTCTCTTTCTCTCTTTCTCTCTTTCTCTCTTTCTCTCTTTCTCTCTTTCTTCCTCCTCTCTCCCTCTCTCCCTCTCTCCCTCTCTGCCTCTCTGCCTCTCTCCCTCTCTCTTTCTCTCCCTCTCTCTCTCTCTCTCTCTCTCTCTCTCTCTCTCTCTCTCTCTCTCTCTCTCTCTCTCTCTCTCTCGTTAAAATACGTCGATACTTTACTACAAGTGCAGGTGTTGTTTATGTTGTCACAAACACAAATGTAGTTAGCCAGCATGCACTCTTTTCCTGGTAGACTCAAGGCCTGCGGTCGGGTAGTGTACATCATGCATGCACAAGGGACAAGTAGCGCAGCATGATATTTGACACGGCCCCTTGGTTAAAAGACCTTGTAGTGTCCTTTTAACCATAGACCCAAAAGGTGGTATTGACAGTAGTGGCAAAAACGAATGCACATGTTGTTTGCCGATGCTACTGTAGCGAACAGGCATGTAGTCTCTTAAAAAATGACCGAAGGTAGGTATCTACAGCGCTGCTGTCTGTAGTTCAACTAACCTTCAAATGATCAAATGTGAAGTTGCTGTGCAAGAACCCTAAGTGGCTCTCAGTCATCTCGTAGTACGATGACGTAGTACAGCAAGTAGTTGTAGTTTCACCTGTAGATCAGGTGTGCTTAGTCCAGTGGTGGACTCGGTAGTTCTGGACTTGGCCGACGCGGTAGTCCAAGCCTGCATAGTGGTTGGTAGTGAATGTGTTGAGGAAGTCTGGACCGCCACGGAGACGGTTGTAGTCGCACTCCGGTGGTGCAAGTGCTTGGCCGGTTGTAGTGAGAAAGTAGTGGAGTAGTAGTTTGTGTTGCATGGAAAGATTCGTAGCCGTGAGTAGGGTGATGCCGTAGTAGGTGGCACTTTTGTGTAGAATCGTGTTGATGGACTTGTAGTGGTGGTCTTGAAGTTGTTGTGGTTGGTCGAAGTAGTTGAGTAGTTCGGGTAGGTACAAGGGCATGTGGTAGTTCCAAATGAAGTTGTTGGATAGGTTGAATGTAGTGGTGATTTGGTCCAAATCGTAGTTGATTCGGTGTAGTCGTTGATGTAGTTGGCGTGTAGGAAGGTGGTGCTTGTCGGTGATGGAGATCATGTGGCTCACGAAGTCGCGGGAGAAGTTAGTGACTTGTCCAGCACTGACAAATCGTAGTAGAACTTCTTGTGGAAGGTGTAGTTGGACAATGACCATCGAGTTGATGTACTGGGTTGTGAGGTGTAGTGATGTCAGGTTGTAGTAGTAGAAGTTGACTGCCTCTGAAAGACGTAGGTGAAGAGGTAGTGAGTCGTAAATTGGCATCCGAATGTCTGAGGGTAGGTCGTGAATTGGTAGGTTGTAGTTGAGCTCGGGAATGGGCGTAGTTTGTTGTTGACTGAGTAGTTGAAATTCCTCTAGCGTCAAAGCCACGTAGATCCTGAAGTAGTTCTGTGCCGGGTCGATCGCTGGAGTGTCAGGGATGTTGTTCTCAACAGTAGTGAGATGTGCCAAAATGTCGTCGGGTCTGTAGAAAGGTGCAGGTGTGGGTAGTTGGTGATTGAAGTTGTAGTTGAGGGCGTTGTGTGCCTCAGGTAGTGGTGTGGCCAAAGTGGCCATGCTGCTGGAGTCGGTAGTATTCTGTCGATCTGGTGGTGTGGAAACACGGTCCGGTGTAGTGATGTCAGCCTGTTGTTCGACGGGCAGAGTAGCCTCTGGAGCTGATGTAGTAACCTCCATCGGCATGACATTCAGCGTAGTCGCATCCATGGGCGTAGTTCCAGCCATTGCTGGTAGTTCGGCCTATCGAGATGCAGTGAAACGGGGCAGACAGTAGTGAGCCAATGTTAGCTCACAAAAGCACATGCGGGCATGTAGTAAAACAAAACAACATGTAATGTTGCCCCAAGCCGCCAAAAAGCCGCCAAACGTGCAAGTGCAAATTACTGGTGGTTACAATTACTGTGACTTGTAGTTACTGTTACTGTTACTGTTACTTACATGCAAGTAGCTACATATGGCCATATACAAACTGTTGTGGTTGATGTGAAACAGTTGTGAAACAGTTGTTGTTCGTAGTGCTAAACGCGTATGCCAATGCTCTGTATGAGCCTCTGTAGTGTTTCTTTGCTGATGTATTTTGTGAACAAGTCTGAGGTGTTGTGTAGTGTGTTGATTTTGAGGATTCTGATGATGTCGTGCTTGATGAGGTCTTGTGTGTAGAGAAATTTAAGGTCGATGTGTTTCGCTCGTTTGCTAGTGCCTTGTCGTGTAGCAATGCTCTTGCCTGCTGTGAAGTCTGTGTGGATGCGTAGGTTTCTTGCTGCAAATGTTGGTTTCAAGTAGGAAATTTCTGAGGTGTAGTCCCTCATTAAATCCTGTGCAAATGGCGTAGAGTTCAGACTCTGCTGAGCTGAGTGCTATTGTAGCTTGTGTTCTGCTGCTTGTGTTCTGCTGCCAAATGCAACTGTTGTTCCTAAAAAGATGATGTTGAAACCTGAAGTTGATTTCCTGGTAGTAGGGCATCCTGCCCAGTCGGCATCGACATGAACGTCGAGATCCAGGATGTTGTTGGTGTTTGCTCTGAGCGTTGTTGTTGGTTCTATGGTAAATTTGTAGTGCTTGGTGCCGTGCAAGTAGCGTAGTAGATGTTTGACTCTCTTTTGTGAAAGTTCTGTAGGTGCTGTGAGGTCTCGTGCTAGTTCTTTTGCGGAGTATGCAATGTCTGGTCGTGTGTGTGCTAACCATTGAAGTTTGCCAACAATCCTTCTGTACCTTTTGTGTTGTTCGTGGTCAAGTAGTGCTTCATCTTCTATTGTTGGTTTGTAGTGTGCAATTCCTGGAGTGTTCACTGAGTTGCAGTTGTTCATTCCAGACTCCTCGATCATGTTGTCGATGTAGGAGTCCTTTAGTCCAAGATTGCAGTAGTTGCCAAAGTGGTCGATGTTTCTTCCAAGAAATTGTTGTGGTTTGCCAGGTTCGAGGTAGCCGATGTGCTTGAGTAGGACCTGCTTCTGGATGGCCTCGAAGGTGGAGTCGACAGTAGTCTTGTCACCAAGTACCAAGAGGTCATCCACGTAGACCACGATGTAGCAGTCGCGAGTCGCATTGGTGTAGACGTTAGGTTCTGTGCTTTTGTAACACTTCAGCCAGGTAGTCCTGCCATGCTTTTGGTGAACTGCGTAGTTCATACATGGCTTTCTTTAGTCGCCAGATTTTGTCCTGTTGTGGACAAAGTTCTTTAGGTGGCCAAAGGTAGACGTCACGATGTTTACCGTCGTGGTCTTTTGCGGGGGTGCGTGTAGAAATGCTGTAGAGACGTCGCCTAGTCGCGCTATCCAGTTTGGTCGTGACATTTGTAGCGCGAGAAGTGTCCGGAGTGTCGTGAACATTGGTGTAGAGGCGTAGACGGAGTCTTCGTCCTCGATCTTCTCTGTGTAGCCTTTTGCGACGATTCGGCTTCGTACTCCTGGTCCTTTCTTTCTGTGTACCCATCTTGTAGGTATCGCTTCTCTGATGACGTTGTCGTCGACGGTAGACGCATCTACTTCGTCGTAGACGTCATGTAGCTTCATTTGGTTTGACTCGTGTTTCATTCCTTCCAGTAGTTGTGTTTCGTCGTAACCTTCGTTGTCGAAGATTATGGGTTGGTCTTCTGAGGTGTCGTCGTTTGTGTAGGGGGTGATGGATTTTCCGTTGGGAAGTGTCACTGCGTTGATTTTCTGTCGTAGTGGTGGTGGTTCTTTGGTTGCTTGCTCCGTTGATCTGATTGTAGTGTCCTTTGAGGTCTTCTGTGCTTTAGTTGGTTGCATTACTTCTTCCGGAGTTAAACGTCGTAGTGTTTGTCGAGGTGGTGCTGGTAGTGGTGGATGTTGTCGTCCGGTTGGTGAAGTAGCCATAGGACTATCCGGTAGTGGTCGTGAACTTGACGTCGATGTTGACGGAAGTCGTGGAGGTGGTGTAGTGCGTTGTTGTTTTGTTGCGGGTTCCGCAACGATGTCGTCCGTAGCGTTCGTTTGTTGTCCGAAATCTTGCGTGGACCTTCTTTTCTCTGACGGTTGTAGTTGCGTATCCAACAGTGTTGCGAACGATGGGTTGTAGGTGTTCCGTCGTGGTGCCCATGGTGTGCCGGAAACTTTGTTCAACAGTGCGAGGTCGTATTTGAAGTCCGGTTGTAGTCTCCGTACTGTTCGTACCTTTTGTACGCCTGATTCCGTTGCGACGTAGTTTTCTCCGGTTTCGGAAACTTTTCCGAGCCAGATGCATTTCTGCATCCGTAGGTCTGCTTTTGGAAGTTTCTTGCGTTGTGGTGGAAGGTAAAGTAGTGTCTCGCCAAATTCGCAGATTGCTCGCTCGTAGTTTCTTCCCCAGCGGCGTTCAGAGCTTGTGTAGCCGTCTGAGTGAATGACGTAGCGATTTACCGTCCATGCTGCATGTCGTACTATCCAAGGTAGTAGACAGTGCTTTGTGGACATCGTCATGCTGAAGTTGCTTTCAACCTGAGCTTTGACGACCGAGAAGTGTTCTATGTAGTCGCTCAACGCTTCCTTGACTGTTGCTGCTGTAGGATGGTGAATGTCGTGCAGTCATTGAGCCGACTTTAGATGCTGTTGCTTTTAGTAGTGCATTGAGTGTGTCTTCGTTGTCGCTTTGTAGTATGCCGTGTGTTCTTCCGCATTCAAAGATGAATGCTTGTAGGTTGTTGATCATGTAGTCATTGATGGTTTGTCCGGAACCAATACCGCCATGCACAGTTGTGTAGTAACATCAACTGCTGTTAAGACTGGTATGGTCTTCGGATCTTGTTGTGATTTGATGTAGGCAAAATCCACTTGGATGATGGGTTGTCGTGATTGTTGTTTCTTGTAGTTGTCCTGGCGTCCTTTGCCTTGAACGCACATTGGACACAAATTTCTGCGTGGTAGGTGTGTCAAGTTGTGTTCTGCTATTTGTTGTGGAGTGGGCTGCTGCGGTTGGCGTAGTCCTCTTGCTCTGTGTGCTTCATGATGCTCGTGTTGTTGTTCCTCATCGTGGTTCTCCTGGATGTACTCGTAGTCTTTCTTCACGGTGAACCTTGTTGTTCCTTTCCATTGAAATGGTAGTGCTGCGTTGCCCATGACTGTCCAGTCATCTTTGCGTTGCGAAACTTCTCCAAAGTGGTTGTGAGTGATTGTAGTTCTGTGAGGTTCAAGTGTGCTGATTGGTGGATATCCTGGTCCATCTGTTGGAGTGAATAGAGTTGTTCTAAGTGTTGTGTGGTGTCTTATCCAGTATTCACCTTGTCTTTCCCAGTAGTCTTGGTTGTCCTCCTGTGCTGTGAGTGGTCTGTGGATTGTCTCCTTTGGTTGTGTGGTGTCAAGATTTGTAGAAGGCGCTGCTTTAGGTCTCCATATCTTTTGTGGTGCTCGTAGTTGGATCTTTGATCTGGTTGGTGGTGTGTCCATTAGCCGTTGTGGTTGTGAGCTCTGCCTTGTTGGTGTGGTCTTTGATGTTGCTCTGCGTGTAGGTGTTATCTTTCTTCTGAATCTGGTTTCTCCAGTCCAGTTGTCACCTTCTAGTCTTCGTTGTAGTTCTTGCTTGGAAAGTTGTGTTGGGTTCTCTTGTAGTTGTTCTTGCTCTTGCCCTTGTCTGTTGATGATGGTTAGTCGCCAATCATCTAGTTCTCCTTCAGGTATTGGGCAACCGCTGTTGTGTGGTGTGAATAATGCTTTGCGTGGTCGTTTGTGTACTCTGACGGCGTAGTCACCATCAAGTTTCCAGTAGTCAGTGTTTCCACCAAGGATCTGTCGTAGTCCTTGGTCTGTGTGGGTGAGTGGTGCAATTTGTTCTTGTTGTTGTACTGTTTTCTCCGTAGGTTGAATCACAGCAATGGATTTTCCATTGTCTGTAGTCATTGGGTAGATGTCGAATCCTGTAGGGATGTCGATCTTCTCTGCTCGTAGGTAGAAAAGTCCTGAGTGTCTTATGAGGTGTGCTTGTTGTTGTCCATGTGTGATGGTGCAGTGTCGTGGAGTGAAGTCAAGTCCATATCCTCTATCAAGTAGTCTTGATGCACTGAGGATTGGATACTTCACATCACAAACGTAGTAGGGTATCATGATCCTGAAGTTGTCCTGCTTGTAGGGAACGTACTTGATGCCGTAGACAGGAATCTTCTTGTTTGTAACCGTGTAGAGTTGTGGAACCGATTCTCCACAAGGTCGTAGCGGTAGGTCTGGTGCGTAGTCCTTCGGGCAAACATGTGTAGATGCTCCTGAGTCGATCAACAGGTGGTGGTATGACTTGAAGTTGGAGTACATGATGTAGTGTATGATAGTGTCCTCAATCTTCTTGTTCCTTTGTTGTTGTCTTGCTGCCGCTATGTCAAAGTGTGGCTGTGTGTTGTCTTCTTGTAGGAATTGTTGAAAGCTCTTGCTGTGGTCGTTCCATGATGTTGTGTGTGTCGTTCTCTTGCCAAGTAGTGATTTGGATTTGTGCTTGTGTAGTCGTGAGTTGTGTCCAATGGTAAGGTGTGACTCGTTGATGCCTCCAATGTAGTTTGCTGTGTCCTCATAGCTGTTGTCATTCCAACCCCAGCTGTTGTCATAGTCGTAGTCGTTTGAGTTCTCCTCCATGTAGTTCACCTCGTGTTGTCCTTCTTCTCCTTCGTAGTACCAGTCCCAAGTGTCGTTCACATCCTGAGGTAGTTCTTCATTGTTGTCATGATCTGCTTGTTCTTGTTCTAGCGGATGTAGTTCTTCTCCTTCTCCTATGTGCCACACTGGCACTCTGCAGTCTTGTGCCCAGTGGCCAGGCTTGCCACATCGATGGCATGTTGTGTAGTTGTTGTTTCCTTTTCCTTTTGATTTGCTGTAGTTTCCTTGGCCTTTGTAGCCTTTGCTTGATCCATATCCTTTGGGTCCTGAGTAGCCTTTTCCTTTGCTCTTGTTGTGTCCTCCTTTGTTGTAGTTTCCTTTGCTGCCTTTGTCGAGTCCTTTGTAGTGGCCTTTGCTTCTGTACTTGCCTTTTCCTTTGTTTCCTTTGTAGGGTCCTTTGCCTCCATATTTGCTTTTGCCTTTGTAGTTTCTTCCTTTCCTCCAATTGTTGTCCACGTCCATGGGTGCTGTTCCACCATTGTAGTTTGCGCCAACTGCTGAGCTCGCTCTTGAGAATGCAGATATGGTCTTGTAGTAGTCCAGGATGACAACTCTGATCTCGTTGTAGTTCGTGATCTGTCCAGCACGTAGTTGGAGATGTTGTTGAAGTGCTCCTTTGGTCTTGTTGAGTAGCATTGCAATCTTCACTCCATCTGGTAGCGCTGTGCCGTTGTCTTTCTCGTAGCGGTTGATGTCATACTCCCACTGTAGGAATTGTTCTTCAAATTGTGCTTCATTGAATGTAGGTTCCAGTAGTTTGGTGAGGTAGCCAACGCTGCGTGTTCCTACTGGTAGGCTGAACCTGCCGTGCAAAAGCCGTAGTGTTTCACATCCATTGGCATTGTAGCGGTTTTGTCTGACCACTGTAGCTGCTGCACCTTGGCAGATGTTGATGAGGATGTAGTGTAGATCTCGTGAGAGGTCTACTGCTTTTGCTGCCTGTGTAGGGTCGCGTATGTGGGCTCTGATGTCTGCATCTTCAATTTGTCTTGTAGCTGCTTGTGCTAGTTGTAGTACCATGTCGAAGTCTCGGTCGATGAGTCCGAGGTATGCTTGTAGTTTGAACAGCCACTCTTCGTACTGTGAGTAGTCACCAGTGAAGAACGGTGGTGGCAGTTTGTATTTGTGTAGCCTTTGGACGTCTTCCTGCTCCTGTGTTGTTCCCGTAGTTGTGGCTCCTATTGTCTCCTCTGCTGTGGGCCCGTTGTCTGCTCCTGTAGTTGGTTGTGCTGATGCTGCTGCTGGTTCTCCTGACATGTCGTAGTAGTTGGGCATGTGGTTGCCTGTGCAGTTGTAGTACTTACTGCTGTTACTGGAGCTCCCCTATGTTTAGGATCTCAGCTCCGCTACCACGTTAAAATACGTCGATACTTTACTACAAGTGCAGGTGTTGTTTATGTTGTCACAAACACAAATGTAGTTAGCCAGCATGCACTCTTTTCCTGGTAGACTCAAGGCCTGCGGTCGGGTAGTGTACATCATGCATGTACAAGGGACAAGTAGCGCAGCATGATATTTGACATCTCTCTCTCCCTCGCTTTCTGTTTCTCTCTCTCTCTCGCATGACATAACATGATACGCATATCGCGTGAGTATTGACAACATGCATTGCCTGCGACCAGAAGACTCCCGCTGATCATCAGATGATGGCTTCCGCCCCCGATCCTCTTTGGCCTGAACGGAGGAGTTGCTGCTGCTGCCAATCGGTCCAATGATCCATAATGTCAGTATCTGGAATGCCTCTTGAAAACTTCTCAAAAGCCCCTAGAGGAACCACGGCAAGCCAAGGGCCACATCCGCCGCACGTTCCGCCTGGGCTCCCTCCTTCTGCCTCTTTGGGCCTCGCTCACAAGCTGGATCCGCACGAACACACAAACACACACACACACAAACACACACACACACACACACACACACACACACACACACACACACACACACACACACACACACACACACACACACACACACACTCGCACTCGCACACACGGGCGGCTGCAAGACGATCTGGGTCACTCTCCCGCCATTCATGCTTGAGGGCCCCAATTCATGTCCATACACTCAGCTTGACGCTGCCCGACTTGCTGCGAAAGCTGACCTGGGCCAACCAGGACAGTGTGTCAGACGTGCTCAGCGCCATACGCATACATACAGTCTAAGCATTGTATCGGCAGCCTCCGCTACGCTTCACTCATCCACCGGCCCCCAAAACACCAGAAGAAAACAGAACCTCAAAGCAGCTCTATCCAAGAGGCATCTGACTCTCCATCCTCTGAAGCCAGCTCCGATGTCTGCTTCTTGGCTGGCCTGCACAAACCATAGGGGCCAGAAGATCCAAAGGCAAACATAAAAAACCAAAGACAACATGATCGGGTCAGACACGCAGAAACCACCCTGACTCGATACTTAACCCCCTGTCTCTCTGTCGCTCTCTCTCTCTCTGCCTCTCTGTCTCTCTCTCTCTGCATCTCTCTCTATCCCTCTCTCTGCCTCTCTCTCCTTCTCTCTCTCTCTCTCTCTGTCTGTATCTTCCTTGTGTCTCTCGCATTGCTTCGAGTCGGCTCAACAGGCATGGGCATGATAACATGATATGCATGTTGCGTGAGTATTGACAACATGCATTGCCTGCGACCAGAAGACGCCCGCTGATCATCAGGTGATGGCTTCCGCCGCTGATTCTCTTTGGCCTGAACGGAGTTGCAGTCGTTACCGTCATGACAGTTTGCAACCGCTGCTACCAATCGGTCCAATGCTCCACAATGTCAGTATCTGGAAAGCCTATTGAAAGCTTCTCAAACCCTAGACGAACCACGGCAAGCCAAGGGCCACATCCGCCGCACGTTGCCTGGGCTCCCTCCTTCTGCCTCTTTGGGCCTCACTGACTCAAATGGACGCGCTCACAGCTGGATCCGCACGAACACACACAAACACACACTCGCACACACACGGGCGGCTGCAAGACGATCTGGGTCACTCTCCCGCCATTCATGCTTGAGGGCCCCAATTCATGTCCATACACTCAGCTTGCAACTGCCTGACTTGCTGCGAAAGCTGACCTGGGCCAACCAGGACAGTGTGTCAGACGTGCTCAGCGCCATACGCATACATACAGTCTAAGCATTGTATCGGCAGCCTCCGCTACGCTTCACTCATCCACCGGCCCCCAAAACACCAGAAGAAAACAGAACCTCAAAGCAGCTCTATCCAAGAGGCATCTGACTCTCCATCCTCTGAAGCCAGCTCCGATGTCTGCTTCTTGGCTGGCCTGCACAAACCATAGCGACCAGAAGATCCAAAGGCAAACATAAAAAACCAAAGACAACATGATCGGGTCAGACACGCAGAAACCACCCTGACTCGATACTTAACCCCCTGTCTCTCTGTCGCTCTCTCTCTCTCTCTCTGCCTCTCTCTCTCTCTCTGCATCTCTCTCTATCCCTCTCTCTGCCTCTCTCTCCCTCTCTCTCTCTCTCTCTGTCTGTATCTTCCTTGTGTCTCTCGCATTGCTTCGAGTCGGCTCAACAGGCATGGGCATGATAACATGATATGCATGTTGCGTGAGTATTGACAACATGCATTGCCTGCGACCAGAAGACTCCCGCTGATCATCAGGTGATGGCTTCCGCCGCTGATCCTCTTTGACCTGAACGGAGGTGACGTCGTAACCATCATGACAGTTTGCAACCGCTGCGGTCCAATACTCCATAATGTCAGTATCTGAAAAGCCTCTTGAAAGCTTCTCAAAAGCCCCCTAGACGAACCACGGCAAGCCAAGGGCCACATCCGCCGCACGTTGCGCCTGGGCTCCCTCCTTCTGCCTCTTTGGGCCTCACTGACTCAAATGGACGCGCTCAAAAGCTGGATCCGCACGAACACACACAAACACACACTCGCACGCACGGGCGGCTGCAAGACGATCTGGGTCACTCTCCCGCCATTCATGCTTGAGGGCCCCAATTCATGTCCATACACTCAGCTTGCAACTGCCTGACTTGCTGCGAAAGCTGACCTGGGCCAACCAGGACAGTGTTTCAGACGTGCTCAGCGCCATACGCATACATACAAACTAAGCATTGTATCGGCAGCATCTGCTACACTTCACTCATCCACCGGCCCCCCCAACACTAGCAGAAAGCAGAAACTCACAAGCGGCTCTATCCAAGAGGCATCTGACTCTCCATCCTCTGAAGCCAGCTCCGATGTCTGCTTCTTGGCTGGCCTGCACAAACCATAGCGACCAGAAGATCCAAAGGCAAACATGGAAAACCAAAGACAACATGCTCGGGTCGACACCCAGACATCATGCAACAACACACTGGCTCGCTCTGTCTGTCTTTATCTTTTTTCTGTGTTTTTTCTTTGCTCTCACATTGCTCCTAGTCGGCTCAACAGGCATGGACATGATACGACATGATGTGCGTATGGCATGAACATTCACAACATGCATTGCCCGCGACAGGAAGCATGTGTAGCTTCTTCCACATTTGGCATATCTCGTGTGCTGTTGTGTCAGGTACTGAAACATATCAATGAGTTCCGTCCTGCATTTGCTTGCCGGATCTTCCTTTGAGGAATAATCCTACCGGCAAAGACCCATGATAGAATTGCTTGTGCTTCCACGTATTGTGTTGTATCGCTTGGCATTGAAAAAAAATCTCCTGGGAAGATCATTGCACTGCAACTTGTCTATAATTTCAGTCTTGAGACTCGCTGTTCCCCCGTAACAGCCCGGCTGTGCTGCAGTTTGTCGTCTCACCGCGTCACGTCAGACCCACTGGGAATCTGAGATGAAGCGATGGCAATGCAAACTTACTGTTGCCAATACTGAACACAGTACCGAAAATCTAATATTCCAAATTGGGAATAATAAATCAGTATTGGCAATACTATGTTGTGGCATTGGCAATACTAAACTAAGTTCTGGAAATCTGAGATTAAGCATTGGCAGTAATGAATTTAGTATTGCCGATACTAAACTAAGTCTTGGCAAGGTCCGCGCTTAGCAATATTTGTTGCACGCCGCCGGAGCGATAGCTTATGTGAGGCCTGTCTGGGAGGAACGTAGTGCTCAAAGCAAAGTGCGACTCAATAAGGTCACGAAGTGCACTTTGGATGCTCCAACGCACACTTTCAAGCTCGTGCTCATTCTGTGGCCTGTTCAAACACGACTTGCTGCATTGGTGCTCACGATTGCCTGACAGTCGCACCGCCGGGATGCTGCTCTGATGCTTCTCCACAGAACAGCTCCGTGCATAGCATATCTGCACGCTGCATGAGAGCTGCACGAGTGTGGCTCATGGCTTTCTCATCATGTGTGGAATGTGTGTGCGTGTGCCCCACAAAAGAAGGTATGTAGGTATGTAGGATATGTAGCATATATATATATATAATATGTAGGTATGTAGGTATGTAGGTATGTAGGTATGTAGGTATGTAGGTATGTAGGTATGTAGGTATGTAGGTATGTAGGTATGTAGGTGTGTAGGTATATACGTACGTACGTACGTACGTACATATTTATGTATGTATGTATGTAAGTATGTATGTACGTATGCATGTATGTATGTATCTATGTATCTATGGATCAATGTATCTATGTATCTATGTAGCTATGTATCTATGTATCTATGTATCTATGTATCTATCTATGTATCTATCTATCTATCTATCTATCTATTATCTATCTATCTATCTATCTATCTATCTATCTATCTATCTATCTATCTATCTATACATGTACCTATGTATCTATGTATCTATGTATAATGTATGTCTGTGTGTATGTGGGTGTGTGTGTGTATGTCTGTGTGTATATGTGAGTATGTATGTATGTATGTATGTATGTATGTATGTATGTAGGTAGGTAGGTAGGTAGGTAGGTAGGTAGGTATTTTCGTTTTTTTGTTTGATCATTTGTGTTTGTTGGTTTGTTTGTATTAATGTATGCATTTTGGTATGTGTGTATTCATGCATGCATGCATGTATGTATGTCGGTGCGTGTGTCTCACGCATCCGTCATACATGCTTCACTGTGCCCTGTGTATGTTCATCACGCGATTGCCCCGGGGCAAGCTCCAGCCTGGTAGGCTTCTTCTTCCCGCTTGTCGCCTTGGCCACAAAACGGCATTTATTGTCTGGACAAAAACCTTGCACTGTCATCTGCCCCTAGTCTTCTGACATGCTCTAGAAGGTGAAGCAAAATCAGTTGGCAGTCAGAAACGGCTGCCTCAGTCAAGTGTTGGTCCACAGATATGCGGACGAAATCAACATGAGTACAATCAACAACCAACTCCTGTTTTGGGCCCACATTGTCAAGAGATTGGCGCCTGGATTGCTCAGCAGCTAGGCATGTCAAGTCGAAATGAATCTTGCTGTACAGCTCATATCTTGACTGCTTGTGTTTGGGAGGAAGAAAAGTTACTTCCATGACCACCTCACTGTTCCGAAGTTACGCCAGCAAGTTTTAGCGCGAATCGTGCTGGCTCCCGAGCTCAAGTTGCTGGGGCCTGCGCCTTTGCTGGGCCTCGGACAAGGAACACACACTCACACAAAGAAGGTGCATTAGAGTCTGATTGAGAACCCACATCTCCCAGCATTTTGCAGGAGACATGCCAAAACACATACCAGCAGGTGGACAAAAGGGGGCACGCCAAGAAGGACCATGGGAAAGACATACAAGGCTCAGCGCTCGGGGCCTGGCCCGTGCCATCACCTGAGCACACGCGGATTTTTGCAGGCCACATAGACAATGCCGTTGTTGCCTTCGAGTACATGCAACAAACAGTGTACAAATCTCGCGGCTGTGCAGAATCCTTTCGTGACTCAACTCAATGCTTACTTCCTTGGACCTTGAACGTCTATGTCTTTGGTGGCGTGCATTTGCACAAAGCTCGTTCGCATGGTGGATGGAAGGATGGACCCAAGGCAACCTTGAAAGGCGAACTGTGCGAGGATGTGTGGAGGACGTGCGTGCGTTGGATTTGTAGCTCTTTGCCTCCCCGGCCGAACAAACCGGGCTGCAGGGGCTTGGTTTTCTGAACCTCCGGGCAGTTCTTGGCCTCCAGTAGTTCACGTGTGCTAAGGCTCACTCTGTCGCTGTCGGCCAAAAGCCGTGCACGGGTTGTCGCAGTCACGCTGCCCTGAGTCGGATCGAATTCAAGCAAAAAAAACATCACTTGCTAACTGACTGACCACAACAACAATCAAGGTCTTTGCATGGCATGTCCGAAGGGCAAAATCCCATGTGCATGCTTTTGGATCTTACCACAGTGCGCCTTCCGGACTGCTCTCACAGGAGATGAAGGCGAGTCAGCCTGGCTTGCTAAGCTGGCACAACATCGCATGCAAAAAGCCGCCAACGCAGGTCGAGGGTGTAGATGGTAGGGGAATGTGCGTATTCCTTGGGGAATCCTTTGCAAAAGCTTGGGCTCAAAATCTGGGGCTCGCAAAAGGGTGCGGATGTATTTATTTGTTTTATTTTATGTTTTTTGAGTTTTTCGTCTTGGCCAGTAAATGTCCTATTTTACAGCATTGTCTCGCGAAATTGACGTATTTACACTAGACGTCAACATCGTGTTCAACCAACATCCCCAGCATCACCAACAAATCGTGGGTAAACAAATCGAAAGGTGCGGGCGGGTTGACGGGTCGAAAAAATGATGATTCGAATAGAGGTGCATTTTTTTTCCTGTAAAGAATTCTAAAAAGTAGCGGGGGGGTTGGGGGGGGGGGGGGGGGGGGCGGCAGCCCCCCCCATGATGTTCGAGGAAGTGATGATTCAAATAGTACAAAAATATAAAGAGTAGCGGGAGGGTTGGGGGGGGCGGCAGCCCCCCCCATGACTTCCGAAGAAGATTCAAATAATGTAAAACAATCTAAAAAGTAGCGGGAGGGTTGGGGGGGGGGCGGCAGCCCCCCCCCCATGACTTCCGAAGAAGGGATGATTCAAATAATGTAAAACAAACTGAAAGGTAGCGGGGGGGTTGCGCGGGGCGGCAGCCCCCCCCCATGACTTTCGAAGAGATCCAAATAGTGTAAAAAATCTAACAAGTGGGGGGGTTGGGTGGGGGCGGCAACCCCCCGGTGCAAGGATTCAAGAAAGGGTGCGGCAGAATATAAGAAAACAGGGGGGGGCGGGGGGGGTTGGCGGGGAGGACTCCCCTATGATGTTCGAAGAAGCGCATACATGCAGACAGACAGACAGACAGACAGACAGACAGACAGACAGACAGACAGACAGACAGACAGACAGACAGACATACATAGATTACATGAAATGTCGTATTTTACAGCATTTTCTCGCGAAATTGGATGATCGGAAAAGTGATGATTCGAACAGGTGGGGGCGGCAGCCCCCCCCCCATGATGTTTGCAAAAATGAGGATTCAATCAGGGGTGCAATGATTCAAGAAAAGGGTGCGATAGAATATAAAAAAAGAACCGGGGGGGGGGGGGGGGAGGGTTGGCGGGGGTGACTCCCGCCATACATACATACTCGACTACATAAAATGTCGTAGTTTACAGCATTTTCTCGCGAAACTGGATGTTCGAAAAAAGTGATGATTCAAATAGGGATGCAATTAACTCTCTGCCATTGTTTTTTAAAGTAGCGGGGGTGCAAAAAGCCAAAAAGCCCGGAGAGGAACTGGGAAAGCAGAGGATGCGAACAGCCAAAGCCACCAAAAGCCGCATAAACCAGCGAAAAGCCGCAAAAGCCGCAAAAGGAACTGGGAATGCAGAAGATGCGAAAAGCCAAACCCAAAAAGCCAAGAAGCCAAGAAGCCAAGAAGCCAAGAAGCCAAGAAGACAAGAAGCCAAGAAGCCAAGAAGCCAAGAAGCCAAGAAGCCAAGAAGCCAAGAAGCCAAACGCGGAAAAAAAGAACAGAAAAAACAACTCCATCGCAAAAAAACTGCAGGTTAGGTTTTGCCAGTGTTTGCTTGCTTTGCAAGTAGAAACCTTGCATTTCCTCAGCTGGTGTTGCATCCTCGGCATCCCCGGCTTTGGCATCAGGTAATTCTTTGGTCATTTGGAGAATCGCCCAACCCATTCCTTTTGTGCCAACATGGTTGTGAAGATTGAGCTCAGGATTTCTCTACTCCCTGTGCCCTCGTCGTATGGGCTCTGGACGGCTTCCAGAATCCTTGCCACAGCCAAAGGCCTTTCAGAGGTTCCATGGGCTGACGGAAGGATGCGATCCCTTGCGTTAGCTTGAAAACAATTGCCACAGGGCACAGCTTTGCCACGCTGCCTTCAAAGCCGAGCATCAAAACGAAGAAGCAAGCACAGCAGCAAAAATAAGCAACACATGTCACGTGAAAAGCACGAGTGTTCCTCCACGCCACCATCAGCCCCACCATCACCCCCACCCAGCACCCCCACCCATTGCCCCCATCACCCAAACCGCCCCTTGAAATGATCGCACCTGTTTGTCGTTGTCGGACTGCCGCTCTTCAAGGACACCTCGCTCGTTCGTTGCTCGCGTGCTGTATTGGACTCGATGCTACGCTTCTCAGTGCCCCGCTATGCTCTGACCTGGAAGTGCATTCGACCGCGCGGTGGCATCATGCCATGGAAAGTGCACCGGGACATGAGCTACTGGCTCAATCAAATACGATAACTACAGGTGCCTCATCTATTGATGGGTCAAGGAGTCAAGGAGCAAGCCCTCACCTCTCTCGCATGAATCTACCACAATCACCCTGTCTTGTTCTGGTTGTTGATCCACCATGAAAGTAAGTTGGATTTCAAAGTGAGGTTCACTTCTCATGCGCACTGCTGAGTCCCAAGCACAAAGCTCGCGCGAGACCGGCGCTTTTCCTTGGAGATCAGCTGTAGCGGCTGAACGAAATACGAGATAGACTGGAAAAAGGAATCTGAAAGTTGGCTGCACAGTGACCCCGGAAATTAGGAACCAATGTTTGCTCGTTACAGCTGGGGTGTCGTTGTAGTTGGATTTGTGCCTAAAGCTTTGTTCTGAAACATCTCCTCTACCGCAGGGTGCGTGCAGATATGTCTGCACATGCATCCACACATTCTGTTGTGTGTTGCGAGGTTAAGCCCATGAAATAGCGCCTTTGCTGTTGGGAACACAACTTCATCTTCCGGGTCATGAGTTGTGCATGGCACTTTGACGCGCGGCATGCCCAGTGCCACGATGCACTAAGAGAAGCTACTCTGTCGGTAGGCTGGCAGAGTAGCCAGCGACCAGTTGCGCACCAAGCAGCGCGCCGTAAACAGACGGAGCTTCTAATGTACAGCCTTCCGGCATATCAAATGATCCACTGCAGTCAGCTGACTGCACTCGCGAACGACTTCAATTCCAATGCCTGAGGCGGTCACTCTTGACACAAAAAGCATGGAGTGAAGCAGAGAAATGCTTGCCGGGGCGCAATCGAATTGCTGCAGGCTCTGTCCCGCTAAATGGCACCATTTGTCTTCCCATCAACTGTGTCCTGAAGGCGACTTCACTGGAAATGTGCGTGGCGGATAGCAGGTCTTATCCAGGCATGCGGCATATGCATAACACTATTTCAGAAGGAAACGGATAAGTATCCCCAGCTGAGGAAAACGCCTCATGCCTGCATGCTACCATGGGGTAATGTGCAAGGTATCATTCGGATATCGTCCCAGGTACGGTTCTGGCACTTGGGTTGCTTGGTTTCAAGGGCAACCACGTTGTCAAGTACATCTTCTAATTGGCGCATAGTCAGGATTGCTTCCCCGATACTAGTTTGTCCTGCTGCTTCAGATGGGACTGCAATGCAAGCAGCCACATCATGTTCGAAGAGGTATGCATTGTTTGCCAAACAAGGAACGGCCCGTGTTGAAAACACGGCTCATCGTGTGGCATCACCTGCACTGTTGCACAGGGTGATGCGAATTGCACGAAAATTACGAAGCATGGTGCCAGTTGACCGCGGTCAGCTGCCAATGTATTAACTATGCATGGACCCTTCTTTGTCTGGCTGTATAGTCCTGAAGCCTTCTTCCCAAATCATCATCTTCCAAGTCCGAGAACTCGGTGGGCAGATCTGGGTGCAACGATGGGTTTCGTCCAGCATCATCTCCTTGCCAAGTCGGTTGCAACAAAAGCACAAGCAAATCAACAATGCTTCAGCGTGCAAATGGAGGGAGGGTTGTCAACAATGGGCACCCTTTTTGGGCCATGGTTTATGTGGGGCCTGCCTTTCACAGAGGTCCAAAAAAGGATCAATATTTTTGACAACTGCCCAAATCCAAGTAATTGGCTGCTTGATGACATGATGAGGCAACATAGACCCTCCTGGAAGATCTGGAGGAAGCAATCGCGGGGGCACTAGCCGTCTTTTCGGCATGTGAACTGCCAGGATTTCCACATCATCGTCATTATCCTGGGCCCCGTTTTTTGCAACCATGGCAACCTGTCTAACGGATTCCTTAGCCCCGAAACAGCGCTTGACGCACTGTTGATCCTTTGAAGCTGCGCCCTTAGCAAACCGCACGTGTTGACTATTGCATAGTGAGGTGAGCCGGGACAACAATTCAAATGAAACTCATGCATCCCAGCTTGTTTTCACTCAACTTTGTTCCCTAAGTGAGCCGGTGTGCGGCCGCGTGTCACTTGCCGGCTCGAAGGCCAGGGGCGGGGTACGCGTGCCATCTGGGCTGTCCACCGCCAGGACTTGATCATGCCGCAGCTCTGGAGGAGTCACCGGGGCCATGGTCATCCACCACTCCTCACGGAAGGCAGACATCTTCGCCAGCGATGATGCCATCAGCATCTGCGGCGGCGTCTCTTCACCCGCGGCCTGACAAAACAGTGCAAAGACAAAGCGCCAACGAACTCTGGATTCTGCAGTGTCGCATCCCAACCTGTAAGGAGGTGCTTTACCATACGAAAAAACAACAAGCTCATCTCACGCTTTAGATAAGTTCTACACTTCTTGAGCCACTCGCCTCTTCGAAAGGATCAAAGGCTTGCGGTCCCTCAGACCTCGCAGGTCCCTCAGATCTTGCAGGTCCCTCAGACCTCGCAGGTCCCTCAGACCTCGCAGGTCCCTCAGACCTCGCAGGCTCCAAGATCGACCCATCCTTAGCTTCCTCCAAGGCTTCCTTTGGTGGGGAAGCCGTCGGCTTTTCTTGCGGCGCGGACTTTGGCGCCCTCTTAGTCAACAGCACTTTGTCTGCTTTGGCTCCAGCAATCACGCTCTCCAGAAGCTTCTGGACATTTGAAACATCGCTCTTGGGAGCTGTCGCTGCGTCTTCCTGTTGTTCCAGGAGGAACTCCTGTATGGCAACACATTTATCGAGCAACTGCTTCTCATCTTCAGCCTGCTTCGACAGCTTGGCCTTTTCCTTGACAACCCTCGCCTTCTGCTCTGGCCTTGTAGCAACGCCATTGGGAAGGAGTGGGCCCAATCCTATGCTAATGAAGGTGAAGTTCATTGCTTGTTCAGTTTTGCGCCGCCTGCCCCCTGTTCGGACCTGAAGCAAGCCAGGAAACTCATCACTGATCTTGATGATTGCCTGCTCTTCGTCTTTCTTCCGCTCCACAGAATTTTGGTACAGCAAGTTGATGCCATCTGGGGCTTTGAATTTTGTGCGAGCTGCATACATCAAATAGCGGATCACCACCCCGTCTTTGTCATAAAAGCGGCAGCTCCGCTCGACATCTTCAGTGGGTGAGCAGTACACGCTTCTGAATCGCTCTTCGTGACGATTCAAGTAGCCATATGCAAACCCGTTGACCATCCCATTGCGACGGGAGATTCTGTGCAAGACCATGTTCATGGGATTTGCGGAGGGGGCCAAGCCCCAAATGTACGAGCCCTCCTGGTGCATCAAATCACGAGCGTGGTGAATGAGAGCCTCCAGGGCGCCAGGAGGCATGGGTTTCAAGGTATCCTGCGATGTTCCGGTGGCCACTTTTTCGAAGACCTCGGGAACGTCATCATCGAAGGAAACAATGTGGGTGCCCTCTGGATGTTCCAGGCCAATTCTCCACCTCTGCTGCATCACGCCTTTGACACCCACCCTGATATGAACATCTGGCCAGTCCTGTGCCAGCACACGCTGATAGCGCTCCATCTCGGAGAACTCCTGGCCGGGAGCGTGGCCCGGAGCCAGCCAAATCTCGATGAGATTCTGCGGAATCTTCTGGCGCCGCAGAAATGACAGCGTCTCACGGCACAGCCGATCTGGGCGGCCGTACGTGGGGATCACGATCACATACGGTGGCCGTGTAAACCCTTGCAAAGGCGTGGCATACATGCGATGCGGAGCCTGAACATCAGTAAGCGCCTCTGCGACTAGCGGCAGCATAGACTCGTGATTCTCCGAAAACATGGACGGCTTTGGAGACTTTGGCAGTGCACGTTGAGGCTTCGTCACTTCGATCTCTGTGCCTTCGTCCTCGCTCACATCCTCCTCTTCGCTGTAGGGTCTCTCTTCAAAGGCCCTGCAGTTTGCTCCAGATCGTATGCCGACTTCGCGAGTATCCTGCATCTGCCGCCAGGCGGCCTCCGGACCTGCACAGTCCTCGATGACTTTCGCGAGCTCAGTTTGAAGCGCGTGGACGATTTCCACCTCCTGATACGCCTCGTCGTCCTTCCCTTCCTTCTCCTTTTCGTTCTCTTTCTTCTCTTCTGGCTGAAAGATGGTACCCTTCAACAGCTTCTTGCGGATGTCCGATCGCAGCTTGGTCCTGACAGGACATTTCTGTCCCGGCACCCCAAGGAGGCCTTTCATGCAGCGCATGCCTACCAGAAATATGTCTGGCAGCATCTTGCGGTCGCTCTCTGCCTCAGGCAGATCCTGCGGGGTGCGCCGTGGAAAGCATCTAACGCGATAGGCCTTCTTCATCTTGTTCCCACAGATGTCGCAGCGGATCTTGTCACGGGAGACTCTAGCTGTGTCCCGGGGATCGACGGAGGCAGCATCTGGGCTCAGCGTGTACTTGGACTTGCCTTGCTCCTGTCCTGCCTTCACCACCCAAACATGCTGCGCCCGCTTTTCCGCCCGGATGGGTGCATCCTGGCTGATGAAGGACGCCGTCTTGTGGACGGAGTGCTCTCCCTGCTCTGGGTCGGCTTGGCCCAAGACGTAGCCATCCACCTGAGCAGCGACCCGAACCAATTGACGTTTGGTTCCAATAACATGGGTCAAATAGGGTTACATAGCCCTCACTACAAGCATGACTCAAATAACACCAGGTAGATCCTAAAAACATATAAGTCATAGACTAAAAAGAACTTCGGACTCGATTTTGGGCGCTCGCCTTGTCCTTGACGAGCTCGAACTCCGAAGCCACCAGCCTCAGGCGGTCCTGTGGGCTCTTCTCCCCGCTCGAGGAGCTGCCGCTGCTGGACGAAGAGCTGCTCCGCTTCCGCTTGGCCGGCAAGGCAGGCATGGCAGCCCGGCTGCTCGACCCATCTCGAAATATCGAAGCGCTTGTGTTTCAAGCTGTGCCATACGCCTGGCTTTTAAGATGCCCATTATCCTCACTCGTGTCGCGGGTCAGTCAATGTATGTTTGCCGCAAGCCTGCTGAAATGCGGAATGTGTACATTGTACATGATAAACATTGTTTGGCAGCAACCAGCTGAACGAGCAGAAGCGGCAACTCATGCCACGGTGTCGTCGACAGGCCACTCTGCGCATGCAGCTCTAACTCATTCGTTTTTGGGTGACTCAGTTCATTAAACTTTCGAGGAGCAAAACGAGGGACCAGTTCTTAAGCTCGGCGCAGAGATGCTGGGCGGCGCCAATCCGTCACGCACCTCAATTGCGCATTCGATAGATTCTTGGCCTGTAGCTCTAGCAAGACCATCACCAGCCCTGAGGCAGGCACATTGTCCCCCACGCCCCGTCCCAAGTGCGAGCCGTCCGGCGGGCTGACCTCCGGCGGAATCCCGCACTTTTGATGCCAGACTTCTGCAAATCACAGCTCAGGCATGCACACCGGCCAGTTCACGCAAAGCGCGGCCAACGTCTGTCCTTCCAAGCGCTTGTCACACAGCAGCGCCAAGCGTCCACCAAAGCAATTGGCACAAGAGGGCGAGTCAGATTGTCATTTATTGAAAGAAACAAAGGCATCTAACGCGTCCTGCCAAAGCCGGGCCTGCAGCTGTGACACCAAAAAAGACATGGCATGACATGGCTGTGGGTCAAAATTAACCACCAGGGGACCGCAGGTTTGTGTCCATGTTTCCACTTACCAGGGTTCCATTTGGGGTACCTATTTTTTGACCCACACCCACGTCAAGATCCCCACGCATTGACGCTTCACATCTAAACTAGGCTGCGCAACCGCAAGGCTGACCTTCCACTTCAAAGCCGAGGAGCGCAGATGGGTCCAGCGGCATTGAGGCGCATCTCCATGGCGTGGCGGTCTATTGCCAAAACCGAAAAAATCCCTGCGAAGTCTGTAGCTATGCTGATGAAAAGCTGGTGCTTGAATCTTGTGCTGGCGCCTGGAAGAAAACATGGCAGCCTTGGATAACTAGGACACGATCATAAGCATTCACCTACCATATGCGTGGCCACTGCCCACAGAGGCTGCAAGTGACTGCAATACTCATCCCCACCCATAAGCACAAACCATTGAGCTCCTCATGCTGCATCACGAACCAACTGCCAGGCAGGAACATTGCAGGTGCACGGTGGGGCCATGGCCGCTACGTCCGCCTTTTACCAAGCCTCAGCTGACGCGCTGCAGCCGCTGCCCTGCGCACCTACCCAAGTGATTCCAAAGGTCATTGGGCCAATCCCAACCCCACAACTACCATACCTCTTCCTCGTTGCGCGGGTTTTCGGGGTGGGTGGGGGGGGAAGGGGGTTCGGTTCGCAAGCCGACGCTGATGTGCTTTGAAGTGCCGGCTCCTCCCTAATTTTTCTCAGCGCAAGCCGTCGGCATGAAGCTCTGGCCCCAAATCCGTAGCATGCAGCGGGTGCAGCAGCGCTGCGAGCACACTCCCCTTGGAATGGCGCGGGCAATCAACGCATGCCAAGCACAAGACATGCAGAAGCATCAGAAGCTGGGACCTCTTCCATGGACTCTTTACAGGGCAAAAGGCAAGAAACATTCAGCTTGTTCCCCACCCCCCCCCCCCCCAATTTCCACAGGTTGCCTGTGCATTCCTCGACATGGACATGGGTCAAAATCCCGTACCCCCAGTGAACATCCCAATCCAAGCACTAAAATAGGTTCTAAAATGGCTGGTGAATTCACCAATCCCAACCAAAATGGGATGCCATTGGTTTTGACCCACCGCAACGTGCCTCTAGAATCCTCTACATGTCCCCAGTCTTCAGCTCGGCGGCTGGGAGCGATGCGCCAAGCGCCGCCTGCATGAACTGGAGCATCAGGGTGCCAGTCCTGAGCCGCGCCCCAGAAGTGGAATGTTGGGCTCAAGCAATATGGCTGTGTTTTTTCGGGGACCCCTCCAGCCAAAAATGGCGGTTTCCTTTTTTGGTTGCCTTTTTAACCCCGCAAAACGGGTACCCTCAAAAACAGAACTCATATGAGTACTTCCGCTCAAAACCAGCCCAAACCAGCTGGAAGATCGAAGTTTGCAAGCCGTATACCACTACTGCATCATATTCCTTTGGTAACATGGTTTCCTCCAGAATTACATAGGCTGTATCATAAGCCTCATGAACCCATCGAACCAGGCAGTAGAACGACTAAGATCGCCACTAGGATTCGGTTTCGGGCGCCAACTCCCAAGCCCTCCGTTTGCCACGTCTGGGCCCCGGGCGCATCTCGGCTCACGCGGATCCAAGCGGGGGCACTGCAGGGGCCCAAACCCTGAAGCGCCGTCGGGCTTGGGCACGCGGGGGGTCGATCAAAAGGCCCGTTACGTGCGACCACTGGGGGAAACCACTAAAAAACACGACATGTCCCAAATGGCAAAAGTTCGCCATCAAAACCCGGGGCCAGGAAGATGGATCAACCCCCACATCCAAGTCTCCATATTTCAGTCTGGGCTTTCCGGTGGACTTTAGCTCTTTGCGATAATCCAAATACACAACTCCAAATTGTACCGCAATGTTGAACACTTGTGGGGCGCCCGGTTGGTCCCATGCCGCTACCACCGCAATCACGATACCTATGTCCCGCACCTTGGTGAACACCAGGAACAATTGAAAAAATAATAAACGGAACTGGACCGGACTTCAGCCACGTGGCACACCTCACTGGCGTTCCAGCGGAGCGGTTCAGTGCCAAGCAGAACTCTACAGAGAGCGCAGCCAGCTGCAGGCTTGGAGTGAGGAGGTAGATTGCGAAGAACTCCGGTCTGCCCTCCAGGCAAGCATCTCTCACAAAAAAAATACTTATGCTTTCTGGATAGATTGCCGCAGAACAAGTACTGCCATGCACTTGGAAAGATGCCACGTATCCAAGGTGCAGAATGCTGGGCAAGACCCAGGTACCACGAGCCGTCACGTACTCTGCTCTTCATCTGGGGAGCCATTTCCAAGACATCAGCCGCAGGCAGTGCAGTGCAACAGAACGTAGGTGTCAATCCATCATGACCGGCCAAATCAGTCACAAAGACTTCGCTGACCTCGGCAGCTTCAACTCGAGATAGACATGGTAAACGCACCAAGACTATGTCTGGCCAAGAGTCCTGAATGCCCAACTTGGCTTGAGCATAATGTCGTGGCCACAGGGCTTGGTGGCTCACCAGGGACTCTGGCTCGGGTTCCTGAGGGCTGAATGATACTGAATGCATCTCTGAGCTGTGAGCAACAGCAAAGCCCTTTTTGCGGATGGTTACACTGCTGCTTTCTGAACAAGGGTTGAGACAACCTAGCCCAAATGAATCCAAGAGGCAGAGATGCTGAACCAGCTGCGAGGGCGGAGGATGACAGGGAAAAGCTTCCAGGAAAATTGATCTGGCTGCTGCAAATACCTTACAGCACATGAAGCCATGCGGTGATGTGCATCAAGATGCACAAGCATACTTATTCTTTCAAGCTGCTCCCAGAGCTGGTCCCCTTGCACACAATTGTGGTCCAACGGAGGCTTCCGGGTGAGGAAAAGGTTTGCCCAGGCTTCGGCTGCATCAGTGCGGTAAAACACATGCTTCGGCGCAGCACGTCGGATCCATTCAGAGACCTTCAGGGACGGATTTGGCCGATGATTCACTGATCGACAGACGTCTTCGACTCATCTGCCTTCTTCCGCCATGCCGCCTCCCTGGCCAGGCGCAGCGCTTTCTCCACGTAATCCGCCACCGTTCTCGCCGCGCAGCAAGCAGAGGCCAGGGCCTCTCCCTCCTCCCCGTCCAAGGCGTCGTAGAGGCCAGCGGCAAAGCCCCCGGCGAGGTGGGCAGAGGCGAGGAAGACGAGGGGAGCGCCCACACCTGGTCAACTGAGGGCAAGGGCACTGGGAACCCATAAAAAAGCAGCAAAAAAAGACCTACTACTCATGAAGAAGCCAAGGCAGCCAAGTCTCTTATGGTGTCCAAAGTTGTGGTGTGGCCACCGTGAGGGAAAGTATCAAGAAGAACCGAAGCGTGCCTCAGAATCCAGAAGTATCCGGTGGCATTCTGCATTGGTAGGAAGCAAAGCCGGTCAATGGCAGAGGGCTCCAGTTGGGATGCAAGCCTCCGGGCGATGCGCCTATGTATGCTTGGCTGTGGGTGACCCACTCGAATCGCAACAACGGCCCTCGGATCAGCAGACAGAATTGCCACTAGCGCCTCATCAAATTCAGGCACCACCTTGTACAATGTCTGCGCGACCAGGAAGACCCGCATAGGCCTTTGGCTCAGTTGGCAGCTGCCATCGACCCCCTCCAGCATCCCACGCCAAAGCTTCCACTGGGCTTGCCGGTCGCTCAGATCTTCCAGCTCAACTGTGCTGGGGAGGAAGTACGGCAACCCAGGCAACGTAAGGAGCTGCTCCGAGTACCGTGCCTGCGCCGCCGTGTCGTGCTCAAAGGCTCGGAGGCTCACGAAGAAGTCGACCGTGGGAATGCCGGTGGTGGAGGCATGACCATAGGTCACCAGCTGCAAAGGCGCCAGGCGACTGTGCGCCAACACGAAGCTCCGCACCTCCAAACCGATTTCCAGGAACACCAAAAAATCCAAGTCCAAAGCTGTAATTTGGGCCCTTGCGTTCTGGAGCTCCCGAACTGTTCCGGGTGAAGCAGGCTCCCAATTCAGCTCCTCTACGTGATCAGCCCGCTCCAGAAGTGCCTTGACCACTACTCGAGTGGAATCGTTGCCTGCCTTCCGCTCCAATCGTCCCAAAGAAATCACACTGACCCACAGAGTCGACGGCAAAGGCCAAATGATGCCTCTCGCAAGGTTGCCAACCGCGCTATCTGTAAACAATCCTGACACAAATCCAACTCTGATCTTAACATGGCTCGATCGTCTCGCGTTGCCAGACCGGAGATCTGGTGTGAAGCCTAAGCCCTGCAGAAGCCGCAAGTGGAGTCTGGAGTAGATGCATGCCACCTCGGGCAAGTGAGGAACTAGCTCGGGTCCCAAATACACGAGGCGCGTCGTCTCCACGGCTCGGGTGTCGAAGGCGGCGGGGATACTCAGCTCGATGCCCTCGCTGGTCACAAGACCACTGATTCCATCAACAAACGCGGCCACCACCTGCGCCGCCTGTTTCTGGGAGAGATGGGTGGCCGGCAAGTGTGCCAGACCCGCTTTCAGCCAGGCTCCCTGCTGCTCGGCCTTTGTGAAGAGCGCTGGAGGCCACTTCGCATCGACTGCTCTCAGCCATTTGCCAGCCTGCTCTAAGTCATCCAGCACTTCGTAGACATGGGCCACCACCAGGGCCGAGCGGGGATCGCTCTTCGACAACTTCGCTGCATTCTTCAAGAGCCTGAGCCCTTGATCCGGATGCCTGTGCTGCACCAGAAGGAAGGCAGCAAGGAGTGAGGCTCGGGCCGCCCAGCGGTCGGAAGCCGGTGTAGCAGCCTCCATGTACTTGGCCAAGGCTTCTTGAGGCTTCCCGGACTCTTCGAAAGACAAGCCTGCCGCCAGCAGCCCAGCAACATCCCGTCTACTTTGCTGGAACTGGGGCTGAAATGGCAGGAACGCCATCGGGAAGCGATCCGCTTGCTCACAGGTCTCAACACAGCAGGTGCTGTTGGAAGCGCTGGCGCGAGGTGCAAGTCGCGGATACAGGGCCACAACCCCTCCTTTTGCTCGGATGCAGGTGTGTAGGGACACATGCTCGCAGTCATCCACATCCTCACTGTAGTTGCAGTCCTTAAATTCCGTCAACAGCTCTTCTCTGTATAATGCCAGCCCGCCAAAGCAGCTGTCCACCGGGATGAGCGTCCTTGAACTCTCGCCCCACCTATCCTGAAGCCCGCAAAGGCCGTGGGGGAAGAAGGCGCGCGCTTGCTCCGCCTCAAACTTCCCCGGCGCCGCGGGCTGCAACTCGCGGCTCCGAAGCGCAAAGGCGTCGTAGAGCGCCCCCGTCCGATACCAGCTGTGCGCGCAAAGCACGTGCCAATGAGTCTCGTGGCCCAGTGCCTCGAGAATTCGCGAGTCCTCCCAGTGGCCGATGTCCACATCGATCATCAAGATCCAGTGAGGGCCCTTGAACTCCCTCAGCCTGCGAAGATAGATGTTCCTCAACTTTGCGAGAAACTTCACCCCGTCATGGCCCCATCCTTTCGACTTCAGTTGACCACGGTTCCCATACTTCCCCACATCCTGGCTATCCCTGAAGCGCAGGATCACGGGCTCCACTGTAAATCTGGGTGAGGACTGCTGTGCCCAGCGGCGCAAGTACTTCTGGGTGCCATCTGCAGAGTCGTTCTCCACCAGAATTAAGTGGACTTTGAAGAAGTGCTCAGCAAGTCCTGGCCCACGATTGGTGGTTCAACCCCCGTTTGCTCGTGGAGCGCAGAATCTCTCTCTCTTTCTCTCGCTCTCTCTCTCTCTCTCTCTCTCGGCTGTGATGGACAGCTTCCTCACTTCAACATTACGCTGCCAATCTTGCCGACACGTGCTCGACACTTTTGTGTGTGTGCCACGTCCACCTGACGCTGCTCATGATGCTTGTTTCAAGTGTGCGAACAAGTCAGACATGCTACAAGAACAGCAAACTGGGGAACCCGAATAACATACGAATTGGAAGTAGAGTCCACTTCGCACTGCCGGAGTCTGTCATTGATTCTGGCACGCTTGTCAATCTAACCCCAGCAACATCTGGGTGTGGCTTAAAATCAAAGAGCTAGGCTATGCAAATCTTCATCTTTGGTTCCACTTGCCAGGGTGCCATTTTGGTACATTATTTGGACCCACAGCCATCTCAATCGCAGCCAGCCGATGCCTCACATCCGACGCTGGCTCCTTCCAGCTTCCGCCGCAGCCCCGGCAGCACGGCCTCCGCATCCCGCGCCAGGCCTGCCACCAGCAGCGTCGCCGGGCGCGCCAGGAGAGCACCGCGGGCAGCGGCGGCAGCCTAGTGGACCAGCGGTGGAGGCATAAGGCTGTGGCTCAAACATTGGATCCCACATGGCACCTGGGTACATGGAACCCAAAAGACCAAAACCTGCGTAACCCTAGCTCTTTAAAGCCACACCCATAAAACAGCGGGTGTGGCTGAGTGGCTCAGTGGCTGAGTGGCTGACCTATCGATTTCTCAGATTGTGTGTTCAACCCGCAATCTGAATTGAAGATGTTTCAGAACAAGTCACAAATAACCCTTTGCAGCCAGGGCGCTGCTTCGTTCTGACTCCCGAAGCACTGAACCACGCCTGCCCTTGATGTCAGCACCAAAAACAGCAAAGATGGCCCTGCACCAAGGTGAAGTGAAAGCATCCCATGTGCGGAAGGCTGAACGAAGATGGGCCATTGCGCTCGTCTCAGCACTTTCAAGATTCTAAAAGTAAAGGCCGCTGCAGAAAGACCAAACTCTCAAGCATGTGTGAGCCCGTAAGTCGTCTGAGAATCCGTGCGTGGACCTGTGCGCGTAATGTCCGTTCCTTCAAAAGTGCAAGGTGGCCGGTCAAAGCCTTGTACTCAGCTCTTCAAAGAGAATGAGCACATCAGGCGTGAGAGCTTTGCGCCCCCAGCATCTATGATGATTTGGCTGGACTTTGACATCCCTTCCCCGAAAACATGGCAAGTGAAAGAGATGTGCGACGACAAGGCAGTACGACATAGCGCGTGAGAGGGCCTGTTCTGGTCTTCCTGGCACTGCAAGAGTGAAGAGAACCATCGGCCTCACGCATCTCGGAAACAGAATTCCACGCTACACCCACTGATCTCGCATCTGCGCTAGTCCGTTCAGCCGGGGCGGGCACATTTCGTCGTCGGAGAAGAGCTGCCGCCGCCGCTGGGCCACTTCGAACCTCGATAACAAGCCTAGAAAAGGATTCCTTGCAAAGCCTTGTCAGCTTGCCAAAATGTTGGGGCCTTTCTGTGGCCCTGGTGAGGCTTAAAGGGTTTGCAGCAGGGTCGGCACTTGGTCAACCCTTACGGCTGCAAGTCAATGTTGAGCCTTGCGTGAGGCAGCTGTTGGAAGCCACCAGCTTGGACACACACCCAGACTCCGTGAAAAGCTTCACATAGTGCTCTGGGGTTCGCCTGTCACCGCCGATGACGATGCACATGCCGCGCACAAGTGGATAAGCTCTGGACAGCACCGACATAGGTCCGCACTTCGCTTCACCTCCACCTTGCCAAACCAGCGCAAGCATGTCAATGTTGAGCTGGGCAAAGGCAAAGATTGAGTCTGCCTTGCCAAAGTTCCCCTTCTTCGTCATCAAAGTACGAGCCAATGCCTGGCAAAGATGGCAGCTTCGGAGCTAGCAGACGTACCAAGGTCACGATACGAAGTGAAACACGGGCCTGATTGTGCGACATTTTCCTGGCCATGTCTGAGCGTGATGCGAGCTATCCTTTGCTCAAAACTGCAAGTCCAGCCTTGACCACAACGGTTCCCCCTGGCCTTAGATTGCGCGCCTTTCGCAAGCGGTGTTAAGAGAAGCCCCACGGCAATCACTCTGAAGTAAGGGAGCATGTTTACTGTTGAGCTCAAAGAACGCGTAGGCTCGCGTGGACCAGACCACATCAACGAAATGCCGGGTGCAGTTCAAGCCTCTTTGACTTGAAACGAATCGGACCCATGCAAAGCAAAGCTGAGTGACTCAATCAAGGGGCATCAGTGTGGAAAGGCACCAAATGAACAGTTGGCCCACTCCACGCGATGCTTTCCTACGTACTTGCTGCCTCCATTCTGCACGTCTATTCAGGTTCTGCACATCTACGATTTAGATTTAGCATTCCAAATGTTCCTGAAACGATGATTATTTTTTCGTGGTCACTTCCACAAAGCGCCAGCAAATCTTGCAGCCAGCCGGCGCAAGATACCGCGTGGCAATCTTCTTCAGGAATTGAACCACCTCTGCTCATGTTGTCCGACAAACATTGTTTGTGGAATTCTGGAATTTGAGCGACTGGCATCGGAGTCTGTGATGTACATAAATACCCACCTGAACGGTCAAGCCTCCATCATGCTGACTTGAACACATCTATAGGCTGCTTTCTTGAGTGACGGACTGGCACCAAACCAATTCATAGGGCCTTGCTTGTGTCCCGCAACAGGAACATATTGTCATATTGCAGTCCAGTAGGAAGTCTTGAGGCACCAACGTGCGGGATTGGAAATCTTGAAGCGTAGAGCAAATGAACTGACCAGGCCTTCAGCGTTCTCAACCGCATGCCCTGGATATAATATGGGTATGGGTCAAAATGAAACTACCACGGGACCGCAGGTTTTCGTCCATGTTTCCATTTACCAGGGTTACGTTTTGGGTACCTAATTTTGACCCACAGCCATATCAAGTAAACGTGACCGAAGCCAATGGCGAAGCCTACGCTAGGGGGAGTGCCAAGTCTGTTTGTGCAGCTCACGCATGGCCACGTCCAGGTGCTTAGACACAGGCTCTAGCCTGCAAATGTGCATGCGCAAGGGTTTTCCCACTCAGAAGCTATGGAGGGCTGAGCTAGGGGCAGATCTACCCGATCACAATGCTCGCGGAGCAGGTACTTGGCAAGCCTTCCTTAGATTTCCCATGCAGATTCTTCTATTCGTGACAAAACCCGGCCAAAAGCAAGCTGTCCGCATGCCGCGATCTTGCGGGTGGGAAAACACCTGCTCACAGGACCTACTTGTGAGCGTTGATCGATTGTGACCCTTGCAAATAGCACGATCGGCCACTATGAGACGTCATGTCTTGCAGTTGACCCTGAGCAAGTTGTGTATCGCAGCGAGCCCACAAGTTCTACCCCATTTGTCGCAGTACTTCTTGGGTCTCGCACTGTCAGGCTGAATCGGTCCATGTGCCGGCCAAGGATTGAGTGGGCAAGCGGTGTCTTGCACCACACGCAGTTTGGGCTTGACCACCGCGGAAATCCAACACGTCGCCGGAATATTGGTCACCATGGCAAGGGGCTTTTGCAAGAGCACGGAAAACACGGAAAGCCAACTTAGCCCTGGGCCTGTCACCGTTGATTCAAAAGGTCCAGCAACGACCAATGGGGTTCCTGGGCCCCTCCTCAAAACGAGCTGGGTACTTCGGCGAGGCTCGCGGCTGAGCCCAATGCTGTGCGCGCAAACTTTGCCCGCTCCCCAGGAAATCGAAGCCAGGTCAGAGGAAGGGCAGTGCGACGAAACACCACTGGAAAGTGGCGGGGCAGAGCTTGCAGCCCAGCAGGTTGGCGGCTGTAGTGACGAACCATATGCGCAAAAGATATCGCTGTTGCCAAAGAGGGGGTTGCACGGCAGTCGGGGACAACAGAAACAGACATCTATCTGATCGCTGTGCGGCCAAAAATGGCCAGCGTAGGAGGGCAGACTGGATCGATACTCCAAACGTCTACATTGTCTCCATCATGGAACTCAGTTGCGCGCTCACGAAATCAGACTCAGCCAAGCGGCCGATGCCGGCGCCGACATCCAGCGCCCGCACAAAGCGGCCTCTGCCGCTTCAGAAGCAAGAGACACATTCTTGGCAAATGGCAGGCCTCTGTTGCCACGGGTCTGTGCCAAGTGCCTGGCCCCGCGTCGGTTTACTGGACTCGACTCTACCCCACTCCGGCAGATTCCAGCAGACATAGCCGAAAGGTCTGTGCCGCGCAAGCTTGTCAGAGATGCAGGAGAACCTTGCGGTTGAATGCCAAGTCCTTGTCAGACACGCCACCTCACAAGAATCGCATCCCCCGGGCACGTGTCTGGCACGCTTGCTTGCTTGACAGCCTCCGGTCATGCCCTCCACAGTTGCTGCTTCCTCACTGAAAGGTCACACGAATTTGCCAAACGATGTGCGAGGCCTTTGACCAGAAGCTCATGTTCCGGGAGTGCCACCCGTCCTTGGACCACTCAGTCTTGCCGACGGCTCTTCTAGGCTGCTCTAGGTTGCAGGCTGTGACGTGGCCTGTCCAGGCGAAGGAGCCAGCTGCCGTTTTCAGGCAACGCCAGGCACGCAAGCCTCAATTCGCCGACTGACTGAAATCTGAGCGCCATAAGACTGTCTCGCCCTTGGAAGACTGCCTCAACTGCCTCTGCCTCAACTGCCTCTGCCTCAACTGCCTCTGCCTCAACTGCCTCTGCCTCAACTCAGAATGAAGAGCGCCAACTTCCGCTTCCAAGGCACGCTTCAGCTTTACCAACTGCCAATGAGGAACACGCCACAGCACCCCTCCAGGTCTGGCCTTTGGACCTCTCGTGGCAAGCGCCACAAGTGCCCAACGCGAAAGCGGTCTGCCTGGAAGGCCAGCGTGTGGCGCAGGGCCTTGTCCGTCTGGAGCGCCTTTGGCACGCATGTCAATTCACAGTCTGTTATTTGTTTTGTATCTTTATATATATATATATATATATTGATTGTATGTGTGTATGTTTTGTATGAAGTGGCTGATGCACCAATCGCAACTTTGCAAGGGTTTGTCTAAGCAAAAGACGCATGTCTGAAAATTCGCTGTCTGGCAAGAAGAGCGCATGGATTTGTGCGTGTTTGTGTGTGTGTGTGTGCGTTTCTCCAAACTCACGTTGCAGCTTCTGTTTTCACTATGTACAGGCCCAGAGCACGCGCTGCGGTCACTGGGCTAGGCCAAGGCCTGCTGCACCCATGCTGGCCCGCAATCCCGGACGAGAGATCCACAGCGTGTAGCGACTGGGCAGCTCCATGCCAGGCAAGCCACCATCGGGCAGGAAGCAGTCATGGTCCGTGCACGCCATGGGCGCTTGACAGTGGCCACCAGACCAAATGCAGTAGCTCCCAGGGCGCATGTTCACCTCCTTGGAGTAGTAGCCAGTGGCAATGCCAGGCCCAACGCACGCCTCCTTTGCTTTGAATCTGGGGCACGGCTGTCGTCGGCAAAACAGGAAATCCTGTCTGTCCTCCGTGTGAGTTGGCCTCGTCTGACTGTTGCGGTAGCACTTCTTCTTGGTCTCGCTCCATTCAAAAGATCCGCAGCCCGGCTGACGGAGACAGCGCCATGCACAGTCTTCCATAGACTCTGCAGAGTGCTTCCAGCCACCTGTGAACTGGTCTCCACCGTAGACATCTCCAATGACCCGCTCCCAGCCCTCAGGGCACTGCTTCTCTTCCTCAGTTGTGACGCTCACATGGCCAAACGCATCTGCATAGGCATGGATGGTGCTGAAGCTGCTGTTACCATCGCTGACATTGCTCTCATTGCTCGCATTGCTAGCGCTGCTCGTGCTGGAATAGGTGGCGTTCATGATGTTTGCCTCCGGGCGTACGCTGAGACTAAACGTCTCCTTGCCCAAAACTTCGAACGCGAAAGGCTCGGCTCCACTCCAAGGCCTGTCCACCCTCTGCTCCCTCCAGGGCAAACCTAAGGTTTTCGGCAAGCGCGTCGCATTCATGGTCGTATTGCTCGGGCAGGTGAGGTTTCCGGTCTGGTTGGTCATGCGAGTCATGTTCTGTTCCCTCACCTGGCTCTTCACAAAGTCCTCCAGTCGCTCTGTCTTGCAGCGCCCGCAGGTCACCGGGCACCAGGCCTGCACGAGCTCGCCATAGCTGGCGTCATCACACATGTTGGCCATTCTCTTGCAACTGCTGCCATGAACTGCCCATCGATCATCTCGATCCTTGCAGAAGGCATCTCCTTCTGCCCACAAAAGCAGCAGCACCCACAAGCGCATGTTTGGCCGGGCTGGGCCCGGCCAGATTTGGCCCCTCTCTCTGGCGCCCGCGCTTTGCCAGGCTTGAGCCAAGAAGTCCATCGTCAGTTGATCCAGCAAAGCACTTCAAAGATGCACTGCTGCTGCAGGCCTCCAGGAGAAGACTCGCCAGCTGGCTCCTGCTAAATGAAGAATAACACAACGGCAAGCCCAGATTCAGAGTGCGCTTGGGCTAGCCCGGCACATGGAGTGCTTCGAAGGCTGTGCAACGGCAAGTCTAGGCTCCCCTGCAAGGTTCACTTCCGACAGCTGCCTGCACGCGAAAGATGTTCCCAGCAATGGCTTGCTTGGATTTTGGTGCCATGCTACGACCCCTCGAAGGGTCTGAGCCTTCCGCGCGCGCCTCTTCCTGGGGCCCAACGGCTTGGCTTCCCCCGTGCAGCTCCGCCGCAACCTCGGCTCCACAACTCCAAAAAAGCTGAGCTGGCCATGGGTCAAAATCCCATACCGCCAGTGAACATCCCAATCCAACCCCCAAAATAGGCTCTGAAAAATGGGCGGTGAGAATTCACCGGAACACCCGACCAAAGTGGGATCCGATCCAAAACGGTTTCGACCACCACCGCCATGAGCCGAGGCCCCAGGCAGCTCCAGCTTCTCCGACCTCCGCACACATCCGAGCGAGGGTCCGGGCCGCGACGCCGCGGCGCCGCGACTCCGCGGCGCCGCGACTCCGCGGCTGCGGGGTGGTTCGGGATTTGCCTGCTCGAAAACATGTACGGGTCCAAACTGGCACCTTGGCAAATGGAGACAAAAACCTGCGGAACCCCAGCTGTTCAACATGGAGCTTGTTTTACTCCCTGAGTGCCAGAGGATTGCCATTGGGTCCGGGAGTCTCAACGATTTGGAAGGCGCTCATGAGAAACACTCCTAGACTGCATCCAGAAGCAGTTCTTTACCCACCGAGTCGAACGTGACACCTCGAAACCGCCAGACGGCTGGGGCTCTCCGCGTGGCTCCCAAGCGCTGATCTTGCGCGGCTGCAGCATTCTGCAGGACCAGCAGCAGCAGCTCCACTGGGGCCTCAGAACATCGCTTCATGGCGTCCTCACTGATTCACATGGCTGTGCGAAGCGGGCTGCCCAACCTGTTAGGGACCTAGGGAGGAGTATGCTGAAATGTCCCATGGAACAGCTGATGTTGCACCCCTCTTTACGCGTCAAAGCCCTTTCTACAACTTGTTCTGGCGACACAGGTTGCACTTTAACGAGGAGCGGTCTTTCTGTCAATTGTCTCCGAATCACAGAGTCTATTTGTCGTGTTGTCTGAGAGCTGCCCCTGATTGACACGCCAAATGTGCTGGGTGCCCAAATGCGCCGAAGGTGTCACGCAAAAGTATCTGACAATGCTTCAAATGGTTGGGGCCCCAGCCCTTCGCTTCTCGGGGCCATCCATCCACACCTGCGGAAGGCCGGAACTGCGAATCCTTGTCACGCCAAAGCTGTGCCACATGGCATACTGCCTGGGAAAAAACTGAAGATTTGGGCCGCTTCTGAGATGTCGCCCAAGGGCTAACAACTTCTTGGGTTTGCTCTGGAACCATCAAGCTTCGGAATTTCGCCACCTTGCGAACAGAAAGGCCAGCCGTCGGCTCAATCAGTCTGATGCACTCTTGGCAGTTTTGCCGGCCTGCTCCCCCCTGTCCACAGACGTCTGCCCCTGCAGAAACCGTGAGGTGCGTAGCGCCGCCACCTGTCCAAGTGCGCTTCGCCTTTGGAGGCCCAAGTGTGGAAGACAGGATGTCTCAAAACCAATGAGCCAGGCTGTGAACATGCACGATTCAGCAAAACGAACCACAGGCTGGCTTGCTGTGGCTGCCAACCGGGCCTCCGGATGCTGCCAGTTGGCCACGGCCTAGGTTGGAAGGCGCTAGAACCATAATTCTAGCTGGATTCTGAGCGCAAACTTGAATGTGTTGACCTGCTCAAACAAGGCTGCATTAGCGTGTGAAGCTTATGCGCGCACGGCTTGCTGTGTGCAGACTCAGTCCAATCCAAGCAAGCAGCAATGACAAAACTGAGCGGCTCAAGTGTCTCGTCCAGCAGCTTGTGCCTCAGCCCGATCAAGCTGGAACTAGCACCGTCTCCATCCCCGCAAAAGAAGAATTGAGACATTAACGCGTGTCATTTGGGCTCCGCGCTGACAGCTACTGTACTCACTATTAAGCTCCCAAAGCTGACGCCAACAGAAATGCCTGACAATCAGGTCTGGCAGTTAAGGTTGGCAGCGGCCCTTTTCCTTGCTGCTATCCCGTGGCAATCTGCGAATGGAAAAAGTCAAATTTGACTTAAATCTCTGAGCACGAGCGACCCCGGCACCTGGAAAGAAATTCGGAGGCTAATTCGAGCCCAGCAAACAGCTTTCAGCCACAGCTGTACGAGCAGCAAAATTAAAAGGCTGAAGCCCAACCATCGGCTTCAGGGGAAAAAACACGCAACCCTCCCGAAACAATGGGCATATGGCTGTGGCTCAAAAAAAGGTACCAAAATGGCAGCTTGGTAAATGGAACCAAAGACTAAACTACGTAACCCTACGTCTTTCGTTTTGAGCCACACCCATATCTCAGAAAGCAGAGCTCGCAATCCGACTGAGACGAAACACAAAGCCGGCAAGAAGGGCGCTTCAGTTCGGGAAAATTTCGCCCAAAAGCACGGACAGTGGTTGGTCCTCAAGCAGCTTGTGTTGGGGTACTTCTTGGGATGTTTGTCGCAAGATGTTCTCGCTGAGGTCAATGCTCATCATGGAGTCCATACCTTGCTGTTGGAGTGAGAGGCGCAAACTCACTTTCCTCAGCTCTCACCGCCTGTGACGCTTGCTGCACATGACGAGTGACGAGACCTGCCTGCCTGTGCGCCGAGGTGCTTCCCCAAGCTGTTTTCCATTAGCTGCAGCAAGACATTGCGGCCCGCTTCGGACGCCAAAGCCCCTGGTGATGGAGGCGGGGACGGGACTGTGTTCGTGTCCTGGCATGAAAGCGGAAAGCAAACAGCGGCATGTGACACCCGAGATCACGAAGGCCACACATGCCACTCGAAATTGGGTTTTGGCCTGGCGCTCAAGAAAGCTAACAGGAAAAGCACTCTGCCCAATCAGGCTTATCAACATGCCTGGCGCCTCGCTGGCACAATGCAACAGCAACAAACCAACCCTGCGAGCCACCATACTCCTGGAGAAAAAATGGACAAGGAATCCTTCAGGAAACCACTTGCCCGGGTCTCTTGTAAAGAACAAGGCGATGTATTGTGAGCACGGAGAGGCTGTTCCTTTGTTACAAGGAGCTGCGGGGCAAGCGAGGCAAATCACTTTTGTCTTCGGGAAGTCATCACTTTCACAAAATCGTTTCGTGGCCATGCAGGAGACTGAGGCACATGCGGCAAAGGCTATCTCTGTTCATCATCCTACTGCCAGCTCAAGCGCCACCCAGCCTCTGCTCTGACTGCAACAAGCTATGCTGTTTTGTATGCAAGCAGCCAGGCATTGATCTGGCGAATCCAACTTCTCTCTTACATGGTTCCAAAACATGTTGCCCTCTGCGCCTCGGCCCCCGAGGTTGTGCTGCCGGCTGAGGCAACGACGGCTGTCAGGGCGGCCGGGTCCATCGGGGCTGGGGCTGGGGCCGTTGGGGCCGCGAGTGCCCCGGGAGGGAGGCCGAACCGACCGAGGACGGTGTGGAAGCGGCTGGCCACGCCGGGGATGCGGGCCAGCGCCAACTGCGGCAGCTGCTGCCGGTCGAAGGTCGCCACGGTAGCCAGCGGCAGCCCAGACCACAGGAAGGCTCGCAGCGCCTGGCGCGTTGTCTCCTGCCGTGCGGCGAGCGTTGCCAAACGGTCCAAGGTGCGTGGCCAAACACATTGGGTCCTCGTTGATCGCAGGAAAGCCACGCGTCTCCTGCAGCTGGCGTTGGAGGTCCTTTTTGTCCGCCATCACACCCACCTAGACCAAATGTAGTTTCACTTCACCCTCGTCAATTTCATGTTACTTGCTGAGCCCCGTGCACCGTCCAGCACGGTGTAGCAGATCGCCCCAAACCGGCACCCGTTATCAGACCTGGCATGACTGTTCGGTCGCTCACCTGGGCACCTAGCAAATCAGGCAATTCAGGAACGAAACAATTACCTTGAAGGGGTCCTTGCAGAAGTGGAGGTCTGCGCTGTAAGCATGCCAACGCCTCCCGCCCTGCCAAGCTGACATGTCATTGAGGAATCCGTTGGCACCTGGACTGTTTTTCTTTGGCGGGGGGGGGGGGGGAAAAATGGAGAAAGTAGGGGGCCTGGGGGGTGGTCTGTTGATGGTCCCCTGTTATGTTTTTAATATTCATCTCAAACCTATTAACCACCTTATTCGTTTTTAAAAGAGGGTTTTCGGGGAGCTTATATATCGTTTTCGTTAAGGTAATCAATTGGGTAAATTGTCGCCTTGTTCATTGTTGGGCTGGGGGCCGACATTTTTTTCATTTGAAAGAGTTGGCCCTTTTAGTAGTTATCAAGTTCTGGGGTGTTGCTGGGTCGTTTGTTTTCTTTGACGTTTATCTCTACAAGTATTTATTTTCGTTCTACACTCTTGACAATATTTATATCTTTTTCCACTTTTTACATTTCCAAATTCATCAATTGTTTTATCATAAAGGCATCTGTTACATTTGAAGAATTCACCATAGTCTTCTGTTGCTTTTTCTTCTGTCATTCCATAATTATTCATTATAGTTTGCTTCACAACCATTCTTAATATATCTTAACAACTTCTTTTTATGTGATTTTTATGTGATTGTCTAGCTATGTGTTATAGGTTAAAAGTTCAGTATAATTATAACATATAAGATTTTACATGTTATTATTATATTATGATTTTAATTTCAGTTCAGGATAATAATTTAATTGATTTGTCTTACTTCTTTCATACATCATTTTAAAAATAATATTAACATCTCTCACTGTATTCTGAACATTAAACTTTTTACTTTCAATAAATAATTTGATATTTTCTTTAACATCTTCTCCTTCTCTTGACTATAACCCAACCCCATAATATATCGTAAATCATGTCATATTTTCTTACTGATTTTAAGAAACTGTTTAACATAATCGTAAGGTGGTATTTTATTTACAGTTAGAAATATTAAAATCTCATCTTCTACATTTCTATTATGTCTTGATTAAAAATTGATTATCTCTCCAATTTCTACAAAGTTTACATAAACCTTCTTCATCCATTGAATAATCAATAATATTATTTATTATTCCATTAGGTAAATTCAGTTTATACAATTCCATATTTTCTTTTTTGAAGTGACAACAATCATAGCATTTTTTATTGATATAATTATTGATTTCATCACCGGTCATTTTCCTCTTAATATATAAGGTATTTTTTCTTTAAGTAGTTTCGGGCGGGGGTTGCCTCGTTGCCAGCTTTTGGAGAAGACTGTCCCCACGATTTGGGGGACAATGTCCCCACTCGCACCGTTTTGGGGGACGTTGTCCCCACAATTTGGGGGACACCGTCCCCACGATGAGGGGGACGACGCTAGCAGTGATGGGAATTGAAAATATTAACCTTTCAGTGCCTGACAAGATAGGGTTTCACATGTCGGTCTCAAACGAAGGGTCAAGCAGTGATGCATCCTTCCACCGAAGCCATGTTTTTTTTTACTTTCTTCGTGTCATCCTCGCTTACCTCTACGAGACTGACTTCTACTAGGTTCGACGGCGGATGGGATGAACTATTGTGTTTGAAGCCTTTGTTGTTTTTCCTGTGTCCCTTCCCTAAAATAAACAAACAAATATATCACTAATCAACTCAGCGGGGGTTTTGTATAACTCATCTTGTTTATGTTTGATGTATCCCTCACCCCAATCTGATTTCTTTCCCGATGGCAACCGTTGAGCAGTTTCTAAATGCTTCCCATTCCTCACCTTTCCACAATCCCCTTTGCATAATGGTCTGGGTTTCCATGTTTCAATGTTAGTCCAAAGCCTTGTTCGCTTCCTTCTCCAGCTTCAGTTGGTTGTAGCGTAGTCTATTGTATTCCTGTTTCTTTTCACGGTTTTTTAGGTAATACTGGTGATAGTAATCTTTCATTTTCTCTGGGTTTGCTTCAACATACGCTTTGTGGTTTTGTAGTCGCTTGTCTTTGTTCTCGTCGTAATACTGTTTGTCTCTTTCTTTGTATGTCTCTATATGTGTTTCACGATGTTTCTTCTTTCGTTGACTGATTTTGTCTTTGTCTCTTTCATAGCGTTCTTTGTCGCGTGCTTTTATTGTATCAATATTGTTGAAATATCGCTGTTTGAACATGTCCTTTTTATCTATGTAATATTCTTGTGTGTTTCTTCCTGCCTTTCTTTCATTTAGTTCTGCCTGCTGTTCAGCTATTATATCACCTTCTCTTTTTCGTAGTTGTTGTAAGTTGTGATATTCAAAATTCTCCAAATGCTCAATGAAGAAATTGTCTATACCAAGTCTGTTCATTTCTTGATGTATCAGCATTGTTCCACAATGTTTAGCATCATGCCTATGCTTTGCCATCCGTTTGTGTAGTGTTTGTTTAGTGCTTCCAATGTATATTTTGTTGTTCAATGTGTTTTTGATGACATAGATTTGACCCTTGATGATTTCTGCTTCTATGTTTTCCATAGTCTTGATTATTATAAGATACAATGTATTCTTTAACTATATTTGGTAAAGATTATGGAGAAAATAGTTCTAATAATTTCATATTATTAGAACTATTTAGATAATTATTTTATGGAGTAATGTCGCGAAGCTCATTAGGCTATTACTTTGTAATAGCGTAATGTCCATATGGTAATGAAGTGAAAGCATCAATATAAAACCTTTTATTTTCATAATTACTGAGAGATTGCTTTACTTGAGACATTGAATAAATTTGATGCGACTTACTTCTGATGAAGTTATATGTGATTTCATGCTTTTTGTTTTGAAACAATGCTTCGTGATAGTTCTGATACGACAGTTCTTTTTTCACTTTGTGTTTCACTACACCTTTTGATTTCTTATGTTCATCATCCTCACCGTGAATTGTGAAGGCATAAGATTTAGGTTTCAATCCGATGAATTTAGTAATGATTTTTCCATTGACTTCATCTTTGTACATTCCTAAGACCTTCTTATTAGTTTTGTCATGACATGGATGCTCAACAGGATAGTCGCTAAAATCCATGTGTCGCTTTATATCATTGAAATCCTTATAGACATCATCAGTCATTGTTTGAATTACATAACTGTCAGTATCTGTATATATCAATTTGATATTTTCATTATATTTCTTTTTCAATACACCATAGTAAAACTCATACATATGTAATTTACTCAAATCTAAAATTGTCATTCCTAAGAAAATCGGTTTATCCAATTTCAGCTTCGCTTTAGTTTTTTCAACTCCTACCAGATTTTCATTTATAATAAATCTGTTTTTGAATGTTGGATTATTCACACATTTTTCATATCTTACCTCATTATCAACTAATTCAAAATCCATATGGTTTCGTTTGTCTTCCATAGTTTTTCCGTACACCGCGTTATTCATTAATTTGAATAAATCTTTCTCAAAATCGCTTTTGGCTTCTTTCCTTTTACCAGTGTTGAAGTCAATCCACGGTTTCAACCATGCCCTCTGTTGAAATTTTATTATCCTATGGACTTTACCCATTTTCATTCCCATTTTCAAATAATACTGTAAAGTCTTGATATGAACCACATATTTTTCTTTATCCTTTAGATTTAATATTAACTTACTTGTTTTCTCGTCCTTGGGACTTTTACCATCATAATATATTTTGAAGACTTGCTTTTGATAATCGGAAAGCATATTCACATTTACATTCATTATTTCAGGCGCTAGTGGATAGTCGGAGTGGAAATCATGCAATGTTTCGGGATATTCCAAATCAACTTCCATAATATAACCGAACTCATCGCTTTCATTCCATTTTTCAACACTGGGCGTTTTCTTTGCCCGCTTGATATTTTTTAGCGGTAACTTCTGGGACATTGCTAAGCCATACAAGTTATTCGCATCCAAGTAACTAATATAATTTGACGGCTTGTTCTCATCATATGCTTCCCCCATATACTTATTATTTGCCACTGCTAATTTATGACTTACCTGACACATACCACCTCTCATTCCCTTTTCAACCATCTCGAACATTTCTTGGTCATGCAATTGTTCTATTTCAACACCAGGTTTTAGAAGCATCGCGTCCCATGCGAAATTTGGCAACGTATAATAATGAGCGGGGTCTAAACCGTAGTATTCCATACACAAGTCTCTAAAGTTTTCAAATACATCGGTCAGTAGTAAAACATCAGTTCTTAAATACAAGTCGTGATACTGCCCGAGTGTTCTAATCCCGAAGTGCTTCCATACTTTCAGTGCCCTTTCATAATCTTTATCACTTACATGTTCTTCACTCAATTTACTGTAAAACGCTTCTTTCGGTGGTAAAGCCCTTTCCTTAAATCTTTCAAAATCATCAAAGTAGTCATAGGGATAAATACCCTTATCGGTCAATAAATCCAAATCTTCATCGGTTTTAACATACGGGTTTCTAACGCTGTATCTGAAATTGTTCTTCCAATTCTCACGCTTTTTATCATCCTCATATTTACTCAACTTCACCAACTTATCCAACGAAGACGATAAGAAACTGAAACTGTCCTTGAAACAAAGATTTTTAAAACCAAAGGTTATAAACTTTTCGCTGTTCTGAGCGATACATTCTATTTTAGAATTCTTGTTCAGTTCGTGAGCCTTGTTGATGATTAAGTGGGCATCATAGTTTTTAAGGTTATGAAGAAACACTGGGATATTATAATATCTCATACTAAAACCAAGATTACAATCATCGTGGGCGCATCCTCTGTAAGCTCCAGTAAAGTGACAATGGTCTCGAACCTTCTTGTCCTCAGATTTAAAATCATTTCCACAGATATAGCAAGTAGTAGCATTTTCAAAGTCTTCCTTGTCCTTTTCAGTCATGATTATCTCTTTTACTTCCTTCATCCTACTAATAATATCTTCTCTGACTTCATTGATTTTTTCAACAAACTTATCCATACAATCTGCACCTCTGTATAAGTAAGGCTCACTACTTCCGGTTATAGCATTGACTACATGAATCATAAAACCACACGGACGATGATTTTGATATGATGTAGTTTTAGCTTTTGCCGATTTGCTTTTAACATCAAT